CACAAACTGTTATTAAGGGTAAGTTTGACCTTTCTGTTTCCTCATCCAGGTGCGGTGCTTGTGTTTATGCCGGGCCTGGCGGAGATCAAGATGCTCTACGAGCAGCTCTCGTCCAACAGAATGTTCAACAACCGGGGAGCAACCAGGTCGGTAACTGGCAGCAAGAAGAGCACGTCATTACAGGGGGACCGTTTTATGCAGCAAATTAATCATTTTAGTGTTTTACAAATTGTACGGTTTGGTATTGGTATAAAGCAGTTGTGACCGAATGGTCATTATCAAGAACGCTACTGCCAATTAACTAATGTGGATGTACCCTCCCGTCGTCAGGTGTGAGGTGTACCCACTCCATTCAACCTTGTCCAATGAGGAGCAGCAGGCAGTGTTTAGCCGCCCCCCCGACGGTGTCACAAAGATTATCATCTCCACCAACATTGCAGAGACCTCAGTAACCATTGACGACGTGGTATACGTCATTGACTCCGGCAAGATGAAGGAGAAAAGGTATCCTCAAGTGGAATCTTCTTTAGATCAACTCGTACACATTTGAGGGAATAATTGTTGTGAATTGTACCATCTTTTTGTTGCCACACACAATCACCATCAGTCACACAGTAGTTTTAAAACATGTGCATATATTTGATGTGACATGGTGTTGTATGTCTATTCTACTTGATTTCTTTCTTTCAGGTACGATGCAACTAAAAGCATGGAGAGCCTGGAGGACTCGTGGGTTTCCCGGGCCAACGCTCTGCAGAGGAGGGGTCGAGCAGGTCGCGTGGCCTCGGGGGTCTGCTTCCACCTCTTCACCAGCCACTGCTTCCAACACCAGCTGGCTGAGCAACAGCTGCCTGAGATCCAGAGAGTCCCTCTAGAGCAGCTCTGCCTCCGGTAGCATCCTATTTCCCTTCGCACTGTGCCAGCCGACCACAGTTTTGTCTCTGTATATATTCAAATCAGCTGTATGTCTGACATGGCTACTGGGAGTTGTGCTCGGGAGTAGAAAGAGGTTTGGCAAAGACACCGGAGGGCCTCTTTCCAAGCTGTCCTTATCTATAGCACATTGTCTAATTTTAAAGATATGCAATACAGGCAGATATGCAATCTCTCCCCAGGCTCATTTCTCTTTCTCTCTCCAACAGAATCAAGATCCTGGACTTGTTTGCCGAGCGGACGCTGGAGTCGGTCTTCTCTCGGCTCATCGAACCCCCGGCGATGGAGAGCTTGGACGCGGCAAAGCAGCGCCTGCGGGACCTCGGAGCTCTAACTGCAGATGAGAAACTGACCCCGCTGGGCTACCACCTGGCCTGCCTGCCCGTTGACGTGCGCATCGGGAAGCTCATGCTGTTTGGTGCCATCTTTCGCTGCCTCGACCCAGCACTCACCATCGCAGCCAGTCTGGCCTTCAAATCACCATTTGTAAGGAAGACCACGTGTTGAGAGGCCGACTGTCGGTCTTTGGCATCACAGTGCCGATTTGGCTACTTGATTTCTTTTTGTTTATTTTTAACAATTTTGTGTCTTGTTTTATAGAAATGGTTTCTAAAGTTATTCCTGTCTGTTTTCCAGGTGTCTCCATGGGATAAGCGGGAAGAAGCCAATGAGAAAAAACTGGCCTTTGCCTTGGCCGGCAGTGACCATCTGGCTTTGTTACAGGCATACAAGGTACAGACTGGACTTCTCTTCATGCCAGAACCATATGCATGTTATATGTTGAAATGGTGATGTAGTGTTCAAAATGTCCCATGTGATGAAATGTCCCCCTCTTGCAGGGTTGGTGCTGTGCTGCAAAGAACGGCCGGCAGGCCGGCTTCGTCTACTGCAGGGAGAACTTCCTGTCTTCGAGGGGATTACAAGTGAGGCAGAGCTCTCTGAAGCGCCTACTTTGCTCTCTGCCACAATTACGCTGTTGTACATTTCTCTTTATGTACATTTCTTCCACTGTGACCTGTGCAGGAGATCGCCAGTCTGAAGAGGCAGTTTGCAGAGTTGCTGTCTGACATTGGCTTCATCAAGGAGGGACTGAGGGCCAGGGTGATGGAGCGCATGTCCTCTAAAGGAACCGACGGTGTCCTAGAGGCCACCGGCCCTGAGGTAAAAAACACACACACACACACACACACACACACACAATGAAGTGCTGAGTGTTTTTGCACAATAATGGCTGAGTCTAGTACCTCGATGAAGCTTATTTGATGGTTAAACTCTATTGAATGAGCATTCACTTTATATTCTAACTAGAACACGATCACGTTCTTATTTTAGTCTGCTTTTAAGCACACAGATATTCAAGCATCTAACTTTTGTCTTACAGAGATTCTTATCATTTTGATAAATGTCATTCCCTTTCAGGCTAATTTGAACTCGGACAACATCCGGCTTATGTCCGCCATGCTGTGTGCTGCGCTCTATCCCAATGTGGTCCAGGTGTATATTCATTATTTCCCTGTTCAAAATAAAAAAAATCAAGCCAGTGTAAAAGTATATGCCTTAACACTCGTGTTTGTTGTTCAGGTTCGTGCTCCCCAGGGGAATTACAAGATGACGAGCAAAGGAGCGATGAAGATGCAGCCAAAGGCCAACGAGCTCCGTTTCATGACCAAGGATGACGGCCCCGTCCATGTGCACCCGTCGTCTGTCAACTACACAGTGAGACAAAAGGGAAAAAATGTGTCCTCGTGTCCAGCAGCTATTTTAAAAGGTGCAAGCGCTTTGAGACTTTTTTTGTGCTCCAGGTTCGCCACTTCGACAGCCCCTACCTGGTGTACCACGAGAAGGTGAAGACGAGCCGCATCTTCATCAGGGACTGCAGCATGGTCTCCGTCTACCCGCTGGTGCTGTTCGGAGGCGGGCAAGTCAACGTGGAGCTCCAAAAGGGAGAGTTTGTCGTCTCCCTCGACGATGGCTGGATCCGATTCGCTGCCGCTTCTCATCAGGTCAGAGAGCAGAGAACCCAGATTTGATGTAATCGCAGGAACAAAGCTGTTTGGATTACATTTGCAGACATCCCAAAACATCCCCCTGCCTGCAGATGTTTTTTTAGTTAAAATATAGAAACACAGTGATATTTTGATGATACATAATCATGGCCCAAACCTTAGTGTAAAAAGGTTAAAAGCTGTTTGTAAAGTGGTTTTATGTGATGAGAAGATTTTAAAGAATCTCCATCAAAAGTACACACAGAAGTCAAGCAGGAATAAATATACGACCTGACTTATCATATATCCTGGTAAATTTAAAAGAACACTTCACAAGCCCCCCAAAAAACATGTAGCTGGATATCTAACAGGGTTCACTATAGCTTAACTCCGCCTCGGCAGCTGATAACCGCTACGTGTGCTCAGTCACCGACCGATCAGAGGTGGTCTTGGGGGGGGGAGGGGGAGCATGCATGTGAACACAGACTTCATTCAAAGAAGCCTAAATCATGTCTGCTAGCCGATCAAGCTCTACCTGTCCCTCACATATGCTGCAGGCCGTTTAGAGTGGAGAAAACATGATAAAGGGACCTTTTGGATGCGCCGACGGTAGCTAAAACATAATGATGGGCCCCCTGTGGTGCCCCCTCCCCGTGGAGAAAAAGAGATGGGAATATCCTTTTATGTTTTCTCTTATTGAAGAAAAAAAAATCTCCCTTTTTAAATGCTTAAAAACCAAAATGTTCTGCATGCTGCGAAGACCAGTTTGGTACAGATGCTGGCGCTAAATATGTGTGCATGTTATCCAGGTGGCCGAGCTGGTGAAGGAGCTGCGCTGGGAGTTGGACCAGCTGCTTGAAGATAAAATCCGGAGCCCGAGCATAGACCTGTGCACCTGCCCCCGCGGTTCCCGCATCATCCACATGATAGTCCACCTCGTCTCGACACAGTAGCTTTGTCCACTGGCCGCCTGTTTCATCCCTTTTTTGTCACCCTCATAGGCTTGAATGCGAGGAGCTCCGCAGTGAACATGTCTGCCTGCTCCAGCATCACTGCCACAGTTTTGAAGACTTGACGGTTTATCCTAAATATCAGTTCACACGGGGCCCCCCCTCCTCCCCCTCCCTGCACTGGAGGCTATTTCAACCAAATTTTGCCTTCAAAGAAAAAAGTAGATCCCTCACAGTTATTGCTGCAATAAAGCACTTCTCTGTACTTTTTACAAGTCTTATTTTGACATTTAATGCAACAGGAAGGAGAGTTGTTTATTGATTCCATACTACAAATGTAGTTTTATGGGTACATGGTTTGTAGCATTTTATGTCATATAATTTGTTTATAGAGCATTTTTATTTTGAGTTGTGTGTCGCTCACAACTGAGAGGTTTCTTGGGTCCATATTGGATTTCTTATTCTGATGGAGGCTGCATACTTGTAATGGTTGTGAATATTTATTTGTATGGCATGATTAGAGATCCAAGAGCTTCTGCGTAAAACTGACGTGTTTTACATTCACTGAATGTATTTAAATGTTGGTGATGTCAAAACTACACTTTCAAATTGTGAATGTAAGGGCTTTTTAAATTGGGAGGATTTGGTGCAAATTGCCGATGAATGTGCAAGCGTAATGTCTTAACAAGTGGGGAATTCAACTGCACTAATAAAAAAAAGGCCTTTGCACTCATCTCTTGTCCAGCTTAGTGATGTTTGTGAAGCTGAGCTACGTCTCGGTTGCAACAAAAGAATTTACTGTCTTGGCAAGTCCAACCCCTTCGTCCCTGAGCGAGTCTGAGCCGTCTCTAGGACAACGCGACCTAAACAAGCGGCGTATCGCTGTGCCTGCCGAAGCCCTTCTCTTACCACACAGTGACATGTGCTGAACCGGTAAGATATGCATCCGTTCCTCACAATTTCATTCACCATAGCAGGTTTTTACAGAGCAGGTTTTGTACTACCTAGCCATTAAATTGTGTTGGGTCTAAAAAAAAAAAAACATTAATAGCATTTTGTGTGTGCATTTAATCTGGATACATTTCAGATTAGAAGTGACCGTGACTTCTTCTGGTCTTCTTCTGGTAAAGTATATGCGAGTTTACAGATTATCAGGCCGCTCCAGACTTGTCAATAGAGTAACCAAACTTGAACGTAGTTAAGCTCTTGTATTTTCTTCAAAGCCCACCCAATCTATGAAATCAACCACAAAGTACAACAACTCTAGACCTACAAAGAAGACTGCGAGTAAAAACGAATCCCCAAAGAGGTCGTCTAGTGCCAAATCCCCCCAGACGGATGTGGACATCCTCAGCCCAGCTGCCATGCAGAATGCCTACTACATCTCTCACAATGCAATGGACTGCCTGCGGTTTAGAGGCTTTGGGTGGCAGAGTTCAAAGGAAAAGAAGAAAGGAACGAAACGGATTAAGAAAAAGTAAATGAGTCTTTGCCAAAACCAAGTCCATTTTTTGGTTGAAGTGATGGCATACATGGCACCACCTGGTAGACACATTTGTATCGACAGCAAGTTGACAGACCAGCACAATGCAGCAGTGTAAGTTTTTGTTCCTTCCACAAACAAGCAGTCATTCATGACGCATGGACCTTAAAATTCATTTGCAGCAAGTTTATTGTAAGATGACTGATCCAGAGTCGTTAACACACTTGAAGGAAATCTTTAAACCAGAGTCATTTGATTAATGTTATATACACTGCATGATTATGAATGTAATGTGCTTATTAAAACAGTGCATCATAGAAAAGGCCACCCAACAGTGCCATGATACTGGACTTAAAGTGATCCCATTTCTCACTTATATTCTTTGAATCCAGTCTTTGCACAATTTCTTATAAAAATAGGCCACATGAGAACATGCCTATAAAACTAAGGGAAAAATAAAACACGTTTGCATGCACTGTTAATATTCTCATATTTCCCAATGTCAATCCTTTTATTAAATGTACACATTGCACGAGCTGTATCGTCAATTAAATAATTTCTTTAGAGTGCATCTTGACCTCGCAGGTCATTCCGGGGGGTTCTTCTTGGCCTCCACATCTTTCTTGAAGGCGTCAATTTTCTTGGCTATATTTGGAACCTAGAAATGTAAAAGGTACAATCAATACAATCCGCATACAATTACCAGTTTATTATTATTATTATCATTAGGTACACCTCGCTAATGCTCGTGCAGTCCGAGACAACCGCCTTCATGGGGCGTACGAACAGTTGCAACCGTACGAACATTAAAACGAGTTTTGTTATACATTATTGCATAGCAAATAGAGTGTAAACGGATGTTCGTCATTGGGAATGAGCCACTGAACTAATGCAGGTAAACTTGCCTCGTAGTTTTGGGCCAGGTACATTCCCACAACATTTCCCAAGGTAAAGCCAGCCTGGAAGAAAAACAACAAATGTCATATAAGGGCCTAATGTCCGTCCTACTGATAAAGTAACAGCTCTTGGATTCACCATTTACGTTAAGATTAGGTTAATTAGGCGTCGTCTTTCACTGATGCCGTTCGTTTAGAGAAACTATAACGACATTTTTGCAAAATCTTTGACTTTTGACAGCAAGTTATGCTAACAGATTAGCGCTAGCTAACGTTAGTCCAGTTTCGCCTCTTTTGGCATCCTCGTCAATGTCACGGACGATAACGTCCATTAAACTCACCAGGAATTGTAGCATGATGGAACAGCGAGGGACAACAGCAGACTATTTTACTGCCTTAATGTCAAGCAAGTTTGGATGGAGGAAGTAACGTTAGACCGATCTGCTTGGCTAACGCGATTAGCACGTCATCAACAGTACGCATGCGCGGCTGAAATCCAGTATCGCGTTATTTTCAGAGACAACAACGTTTGTAGTCTTTTCCTCTGACGCTTTTACACACATTCTACGGGCAGTTCCCAGCTAGAGGACTACAACTCCCAGCGACGAACAAAATCACGCGGTCCATCCAGTGGGTGGTGTTGCAATGGTGGCGTCGGTGGGACATTGAATGACTTTGCCTCCACCACGAACATAGCTCACTTTAGGTTTATCGCTGCATTCGTAAACCGCGAACATGGAGGCTCTCATCCCCGTGATAAACAAGCTCCAAGATGTTTTCAACACGGTGGGAGCGGATGTCATACAGCTCCCGCAGATAGCAGTAGTGGGGACTCAGGTAAGATGCTCTGTAGATGTGCAGGCTGCCATGCTAGCCAGATAGCCTCGCTTCCTCGTAAATGTATGCACAGGTGGAGTTGGCGTTATGGAAAAACCGAAAGCATGCTGACTTATAATGAACTAACGCGTCACGTGAGCCTGGGTAGACCCATGAAGCTCGGCTAAAAAAAACACTGCATATTGTGCTGTGACTGCTGCACGCTTCATTTGCACTGGCACGTCTGCACTTGCAGTGAAATCTATTTTGATCCTCTTCATCCAAACGCTATTCTAAGAGCCCCATCAAGACACGAGCTGCTGTCAGCGATAAAACAGGCCCCTGCTTGAGGAAAATAGTGCTCCCTGTGTTGGCTTTTGCTCAGATCCAACATGGCAGGTGTAAAACCCTGGTGTGTTCAACCTGACAGTAAACGTAGTCCCTGGTGCAGCGCTCATCTAACCGGTACCTTCATCTGTGCATCTTGTCTCCAGAGCAGTGGCAAGAGCTCAGTGCTGGAGAGCCTGGTGGGCAGGGACCTGCTGCCCCGCGGGACCGGTGTGGTAACCAGGCGACCACTCATCCTCCAACTGGTCCACGTGGATCCGGGAGATGCAAGGAAAAACGATGACGGTGGTAAGCATCAAAACCCCTCCAATCTGAGGGGGGTTTGTGACAAATTGGTTCACTTTGGATTTCGGATCACGGAATTGTAATGTTGTGATGAATTCTTGCAGACAAATCAGCATAGTTTAGTGGCCTTTTTTTTGTTTCTTGTCTGCAAAAAAGTAATAAGTTTCGTCTCTGTCACTGTGTTTCTAATCATTTGCAGATTCCCCAGCGCTCTCACAAAGGTGCATTGTACAAGCGTCTTCAGATTCAATAATATGGATTAGCCTCTAGTTCTGCTCCCACCTGCGATTCCAGCTGCTTTATTCACCAGACCAGTAACTGTCGCCGGGCTTCGATCATAAATTAGCCGTGTCGGTTTTAGCTTTAGCAGTTGACTTTGCGGTTGTAGTAGTTAACGTGTGTGTTTTCATCCTTTGAGAATGCGATGCTACAACTGTATCGCCTACTGTTTTATTTTGTTTCTCAGGCAACGGAGGGGAAGAGTGGGGCAAATTTCTGCATACAAAAAGCCAGGTATGACATTTTTTGCAACCAAATATTTAATTACCGCTCTTGACCGTTCCTCGTCTTCATGTCCATTATTTTATTTATGTTCTAGATCTACACAGATTTTGAAGAAATCAGGCAGGAAATTGAAAATGAAACAGAGCGAATATCTGGCAATAATAAGGTGAGTCTCGGATGGAGAGTTTTTCCATCTGTACTGTTAAATCAGGAACTCAAAATGTTTGGTACTAAACCACAGGCAGTGCTGTTGCTGGGAAACCAAACTACGATGCAAATAATCCTCTTAAAGTGTGTTAAGTAGTATATTCAGGTAACTTGTATAACATTAAGGGAGTCCTTAAAGTCCTTAAAAACGGACTTTGTGTTCAAGACAAAACCTTGAAAAAAATAATAATGTTACCCAAGAACCTAATGATGTTTCCGATGATCCTTAGTAGAAGTACCTTCCTGATTGAAGAGGCTGGACGGGAGGATTTGTTTGATGAATACGTGATTAACTGGTCGTGGAAGTAATTAGAGGGTCTCAAATGATAAGAACACAATTAAAGCATGTAGATAAACAACTCTTTAAGTGGCAGCTATTACTAACCACTGTAGCATCAGAGGATGGGCGTTGTGCTGCTCGACAAGTGTTTTCCTTCTTTTATTTTGCCAGTTTAGAAAAGTAGGTGCACATTCTGGGCAAGCTGCAGGAAAACCAAAGATTAGTGACTAGCGCAGAAAGAATGTAAGCAGAATTACAGGAATCCAGACGTAGTGAGATGAAGGCATACAAAACTTGTTTCCCCAAATGTGAGAATGTGACTTAAGGACTGACTTTGGAAATGACCTGAGCAGAGGAGACTGGCTTTCTAGCAATCTGTGTGTTTTAACAGATTGAGAGTTTTACATTGGGGACACGCACTGTTTTACACTCCCCACATAAATACATAAATATATCACTTAATGAACGTATGTTTAACATATTCTCCGTCACGGTTTTATTGTAATGCACTTTGCCATGTACATCTTTTTCATAGAAACGGGCTGCTCAGCCCCGTGGCTCCAATGTAACACGAATACGGCAGACGTGCGAACGGGGGGCGACAGCGCAGACCGATATGAGCTATACTGTCAATCATCACAACTGACGCCGTGTTCTGCGACGCACTGCTGATCGGTTCTATTCGATTGCATGTCAACCCTGTTCTCGTCTCGCTGCAGGGAATCAGCGAGGAGCCTATTCATCTGAAGATATTTTCCCCAAGCGTCGTCAACCTCACTCTGGTGGATCTGCCTGGAATCACTAAGGTGCGGCACGCTGTACTTCCTACTGCCTGCTCCCCACGGCTCTGATCATCTCATACCCCTGGGGGAGGGGAGGGGGATTTGTTATACACGCTCACTTTCTTTTAAAAGGTACAAATTGAGTTTAAAAAAACCCCCAGTGTACCAGATATGCTTGGTCACTGGTGTTCATTTCCCCGCCTGGCGTGTGCTTTTGTGTCTTTGAATACCTTGTTTGTAGCGGCTCCTCGATGCCTCTGAACCACGTGCTGTCAAAGCCCGAGTGTGTGCAGGCTTTGATTCCAGCCTCATTAGCTAGCCCCCCCGTGGCTTCAGATGTTTTAATTTGAGACCCCTCCTGCTGTAGTTTGTAATGAATCAAATTAAATCTCTTCTTTGAACTGGTAATGCCACCTTTAGGTGCCCGTGGGAGATCAACCTCAGGACATTGAGGTTCAGATCAAGGATCTAATCCTGAAGCACATCTCTAACCCCAACTGCATCATCCTGGCTGTCACTGCGGCCAATACGGACATGGCCACCTCGGAGGCGCTCAAGGTGGCGCGGGAGGTCGACCCCGACGGTGAGAAACAGACGACAAGACGTCACCCACCCAAAAACCGTATCCTTATTTTCATTTGTTTTAATATGAATCAACCTTTTATTGACTGAACTCACTGTGGCGTGAACAGTAAATGGTACAAAGAGGATGATTAAAAGCTGCGTATTGGTACCCTTTGTTGATATAATGACCTATAATCTTTTTACGAATGTGACTCCTCAGGCAGGAGGACCCTGGCTGTGGTCACCAAGCTGGACCTGATGGACGCCGGCACTGATGCAATGGACGTGCTGATGGGCAGAGTCATTCCTGTCAAACTAGGCCTCATTGGAGTCGTCAACAGGTCCGAACTACATTTACTGTTGTGGGATACGTATACATAATAAGACAAACCATCACTCATAGTAGAGACAAGTATGTGCTGATAGACAAGATGCTCCATAGAGTGGATACCATCATGCATATTTAATATTGGTATATCGACATCTATTGGTTGTGATTACGGTGAAAACGACAGCATTGTGCACTGTTGTCACATTATACAATAAATACTGTCCGCCTTTAACAAACCGTAATAACCTAGAAACCAAATCAATGGTCGTACAATTACAAAAAAATGAAAAATATTGATGGGAATACGATCTCCTCTGTGATATTACCTTTTAGTCTCCTCCTAATTGATGGTGTATTGTATTTAAATGTTCAGGAGCCAGCTGGACATCAACAACAGGAAGTCTGTGACTGATGCCATTCGAGACGAACATGCTTTCCTGCAGAAGAAATATCCGTCTCTCGCCAACAGAAACGGGACCAAATACCTGGCCAGAACCCTTAATAGGTAAACCTGAATTATACTCTGCTTGTGTTGCTCATGTTGCTCTCTGTCTGAACCATTTTACAACCGCACTAGAAACTTTACAGCGTGGTTGCATAGAAAACAGAAAAGTCAACACATTAACACGTTCAAGCTGCTGTAAATGTGCCATTATTACCTTTTGATAGTAAACTCTTACTTACTTTCCAGAAGACGCCAAGATCAGCAATGGATTCATGAATAGTTAAGAGGCAAATAAATACGTCATTGATGGAGAGGTTCTGCAGCGTATTACGGCGCAGAATGCTTCCAATGTAGCGAACTTCAGTCCTGTTATTAATAACCACCCATCTTTCATAAAGACAAAAGATGTTCAGCTTTACAAATCCCAATTCCATATCTGCATGAAAACAGATCCCTCTGCCCTTTTACCTCCATAATGTCAGGCTGCTGATGCATCACATCCGAGACTGTCTCCCCAACCTGAAGACACGGATCAACGTCCTGGCGGCGCAGTACCAGTCCCTGCTCAGCAGCTACGGTGAACCCGTGGAAGACCAGAGCGCCACCTTGCTCCAGCTCATCACCAAGTTCGCCACGGAATACTGCAACACCATAGAGGGCACGGCCAAATACATCGAGACGGCCGAGCTGTGAGTACCCGAGCGCTCTGCTCTGCGCGGCCACAGGGTGGCGCTGTCGATCTAGCGGGGCGGAAAAAAAGGAGCAAAGCAACCGCATCGGTTTCATCATGAAACGGCTTGTAATTTGAGGCACGCACAGCCTCCGTGGGGGGGGGTAGCTGACAGCAGCGTAGGCCACGGGGCTCACCACAGTTACCCCCCCTCCCTGCTGCTATTTTTCAGGTGTGGCGGAGCCAGAATTTGTTACATATTCCACGAGACGTTTGGCAGAACATTGGAGTCTGTGGATCCTCTGGGAGGACTCAGCACCATTGACATCCTCACAGCCATAAGGAACGCGACAGTGAGTGCCGCTGCTTTATTCCCGTGATACGACATCATTAGAGGCTCTCGAGTGTTTGCTGTCGTTGTTCCTTCACTGAGCTTGTGAAGCGACACAGCCTGAGCTGTCTCTTTTTTGCAATAGTCTACTCTTTTTTTAATTTGTTGCACACTTGAAAGGGAGCTCTGGGTAACAACTGCTCACCTGCGCCCCGCCCCCCCCCATCCCTCCCGTCCTCCCCCCTTTCCCTCGTGCCAGGGCCCGCGTCCGTCGCTGTTTGTGCCCGAGGTTTCCTTCGAGCTGCTGGTGAAGAAGCAGGTGAAACGCCTGGAGGAGCCCAGCCTGCGATGCGTGGAACTGGTCCACGAGGAGATGCAGAGGATTATCCAGCACTGCAGCAACTACAGCACGCAGGTCAACAGCTGGGCTTTCGTCTTCACGTCTGTCGACCCTTCGCTCTCTCTCTCTCTCACACACACACACACAGATGTTCAAATTCATATGTGTTTTATTCTGCAGGAGCTGCAGAGATTCCCTAAGCTGCACGAGGCCATTGTGGAAGTAGTCACCTCGCTCTTGAGGAAGAGGTTGCCCGTCACCAATGAAATGGTATCATCACGTCGAAGTTCTATTTTTGTGCTGCCGTTGGCTGCAGTCATCATGTTTCAGGGTGCTGCGTTTAACGAGACCCTGGATCACAACTTGTGGTAACCTCTGTCTTTCTTTCTCCTCATCGCAGGTGCATAACTTGGTTGCAATAGAGCTGGCCTACATCAACACCAAGCACCCAGACTTTGCAGATGCCTGTGGGGTCATGAATAACAATATAGAGGTCTGTACTCAAACAAAATACCATGAAATGTATCGCTTTCTATGGCAAATAAAATGAAAAGAAAAGAGAGGAGAGGCGCAAACCTGGCATTGCCTAGTTGTTAGCCTGAGGTTATAAATCATCATATTTTTTGGTATTTAAAAATGATGAAAGGCTGTTTAATCAGATTGTATGATTGATTAAAATTCACTTTTTTATTTATTATTTGATAACTGATCCACATAAATTCAAACAGTTAATATTGCATTTCTATAAATTATTCAGTAGGTGCACCATTGGGTATTTGGTTTTCTTTACGACTGAACTATTACAGCCCGTTTCTTTCCACAGGAATTTAATCTTCATTTAATTGCATTATTGTTATTTAACAAATTACAGGTGGAATTTGTATATATTACACACTGAAAATAATGTACAGCGTGAGATTATAATATTTAAGTTTAATGACCATAATAGTTGGTAAAAGATAGATTGATTATCAGGGCTTCAGTGACATGCTTAGTGAAGATGTGTAGAGAGATATTTTGTTACTTTGCCATTTCAAGCGCTGTGTGCTTTTGTATATTTGAAGGAGCAAAGGAGAAACCGAATGAGAGAGCTGCCCGCTGCAGTGCCCAGAGACAAGGTAAAAGAAACAACCTCATTTCAAACTCTAATGCAGTAGCTTATGTGTTCTAATGTTTGGCTGCAGAGTCTCCCGTCGGATAAATGGGACGTGCGCAGCGCTAATCGTTCATAGCACAACAGGATGAGGGTCTGTGAACCCAATGACTCGGATAGCTTCCACTGTGGAATTTTATCCCACATCTCCTCTCCGCCCCTCAAATGACTTTCAACTGCCAACCTCCTTTCCTTTTCTCACTCCCTCTTTCTACATTCCTGCTCTCGTTTTTCCTGTTAAGTCTGTTGGCCACGGCCCGTCTGGCCCAACCGGGGCTTCTGGCGAGCTCCCTGCGTCTGGAGCAGACGTGGACGGTGCCAAGGTGGGCACTAACGCGGCTCACTGGCTCTGCGGGGCCGATGGCGATGGGTGGATGGACGGATGAATGGATGGACGGAAGGCATGGGCATGCACTTTGATCTCTGTCCCTTGAGGCCGTGCTCTTGCTTTGCTCTCCCTCAGCCTGTGTGGATTTGCACTAACAACCGTTGTGTTTCCTGCAGACTTTGTGGTCCTCCTGTCACACAGAAAAGGCTTTTCCTTCCCCGCTTCCTTTTCCAACCTCTAAACACTTGATAGGTTGCCGGTTTTCTTTGTACTTGGTTACATCATCAACGTAAGCCTGTTTATTATCCTAAAAGATGCACCAAGGATGGCAATGCGTTGGTCGCTGCAGCGCTTTAGTGTCGGACTGAAATAGCTCAAACATGAATGAATGGCCATGAAATGTGTTGTAACCATTCATGGAATGAAGAATGAATATTGTGTGTTGAAATGTGTTGTAACCATTCATGACAAAACCTGCCCACTTTGGTGATCCCCTAACTTCCCTCTAGCTCCACCATTTGTGTTTTTTTGTTTTAATTTAATGGTTTGAGTGTATACATTTTAATAACTTGGAACTCATCTCCATCTTTTACGTTTGAATTTGTCGTTATTGCTAATTACATTACATTACAGGTCATTTAGCTGACGCTTTTATCCAAAGCGACTTACATTACATTTTTAACCCTTGCCCGGGGAGCACTTAGGAGTTAGGTGTCTTGTTCAGGGACATTTCAACATGGGGCAGCGGGGATTCGAACTACCAACCTTGTGGTTCCCAGCACACCCTCCCTACCCCGTGCGCCACGACGACCCCAGTAATTAGCTAAACTAAGATTGTGAATAGGATTAACAATATACCTCGTCATTCTGTTGATATTTGGATTGATTGTAAAGCCCCATCAAATTTAAAAACTCTTCACTAGTGCATCAATAGTTTAGATAATTGCATTTCATTGCGTCTGTAGCTGTACTATGCTTCATTTTGGAGGTTAAGCTCCAGGCTTCATTAAACATATTGTGTACATGCCTGTTCGACTTGCACAATTGCATTTGAACCGGCAAAGGTCATAATGCAACAACACAGTGTTGTAATCATTGGTTGGCGTGATGACCATTTATTTTCCTAATCCTCGTCTTCCTGGCTCGTCAGGCCCCAGCAGGAGGGTCCCAGGGGGAGCAGGACGGCACAGGGAACTGGAGGGGGATGCTGAAGAAAGGAGAGGAGGCCCCCGGCTCCGGACCTGGAAGCCCCCTCAGAGGGGTTGTTAACCTGCTCGATGTGGTAACTAATCATAAGCGTATCCGCTTGCCCCATTATCATGATCAGTCTTTTGCCTTGAAGAATGATTAAAAACATGCGCTCCCCCCCCATGCAAGCCTGCGCCAGTTGCCAGGAAGTTGTCATCCCGTGAGCAGCGGGACTGTGAGGTCATCGAGCGCCTCATAAAGTCTTACTTCCTCATTGTCCGTAAGAACATCCAGGACAGGTAAGCCGGCTAGTTTAGTCTTTTTTTTTATTATTGGCAACAAATCCGCAAAAAATTGTGTTGGCATTTGCTGGTAATACCGCGTCGCGCCAGCAGGGGGCAGCAGCGCTCGCGGTCTCCGGTTGTGTGTTGATGCATCGCCATCAGAGGAAGAAAAAAAAGCTTTCTGTGACACGTGCGCAGCTTGCTCGTGAGTTAGCGATGACTATTGCGTCTATATTTTAAATTAGACAATATTACAGCTGGCAAATTCCGCAGAAACCTCCGTGTGACGTCAGTGCTCCGTTGTAAGTAGCTTCAAACGTTGTCTCTTCATTTCTGCCTAGAAACTGGTGATTTTATAAATATTATTCTGAGCACTCGTTACGCGGCTACGTCACCAAACATTACCTGCGAGTGTTTGTAGGTGATTTCTTTTGAGCTGATACCGCAGTCGATACTCACCAATGCAAATAAATACAATAAATAGTTACTCCCGTTTTAGTCATATTTGCTAAAACTAATTTGCCCAGCTGTTGAAGAAAATGTACGGTCAAAGATTAAAATATTCATTCTAGTTAAGTGCTTCTGAACAAACAGAATTGGGGCCAGGAGCCACAATCATTAGAGGGAAGTTTTGGGATTGGATTTATCTCAATAACAAAAATGTTTCTACAATTGGACAGTCTTCCTGGGAAACATTTTTTACAGTGGGGTTGAAATTGTAGACCATTGTGTGTATTACTTAATGACATTTTTCCATCTTAACCAATATAAAAAAACTTCCATATTGTTGCCAAATCAGTAATTGTGATGCAAATACATTTCTGGAATTCAATTAATAACACTGCAACAGCTTGACACGTCTACAGGCACGGCCAACCAAAGCCCCTCCGTCTAGGGGACAACACGATCACCAGGCCATCTTGCTTCCTTGTTCTCAACCATCTGTTGGGTCTGTTTCCCGTCTCCCTCGCAGTGTGCCGAAGGCAGTGATGCACTTCCTGGTCAACCATGTGAAGGACAGCCTCCAGAGTGAGCTTGTTGGCCAGCTGTATAAATCTGGCCTCCTTAACGATCTGCTGACTGAATCTGAGGACATGGCCCAGCGGCGCAAGGAGGCCGCCGACATGCTGCAGGTAAGTGATTCACACCTTGTCGCCTCTAGTTAATTCAGGATCCTTTTTCGGGCAATTTCTAGACATGTCTACGTGGACTTATTTGACTTTGAATGCAAAGGTCACGGCGACCTCACTTGCATCCCTTTCGTGATGTATTAGGAATGTTTTGAAATTTGGCACAAAAGTCCACTTGGATCACCGAATTGCATTCGTCCTGGAATGGTAACGTTTACACCAGAAAACCCATAGGTTTCGGTGGCCAATAGTGACTTTACATCCATGTGTGTCACTCAACATTTGTGAGAAGGTAAACGTGGCTTTGTACTTCAAGGCAGTAATTGTAGTTTTACTTTTAATTGTTTTTTCCCCCCTCAGGCTTTGCAAAAGGCCGGCCAGGTTATCGCAGAGATCCGAGAAACACATCTGTGGTGAAAAATCCCCAAAGGGAGCTGAACGTTATCTCTTGCTGCCTAAAGGGCCGAGGCGCCAGAAATGTTCTTGTTCCAGCTTCAAGTAGGTATCCTATCGGATCAAAAGCTCCCTGAAAGAAATGTGAGTTTATTATATGGAAATTGCCATAACTTTAGTTGCCACCCATGGAGGAATAAAGAGTGCATCCGAAGCGTTATCCTTAACATTATGGAAATGGACTCTGTGGCAGCTCCAGGTTATAACAAATCCACATCTTATGAGTGGTCATGTGTCAAACAGGTTAACTGTCATCAGTTCTCTCTCGGTCCACGTTATATTTTGCACTTGTATCACCGCACTGAAGTTCTGACTTTTATTTTAGTGTTAAATATGTGCCGAATAATATATGGTAAGTTGTTTACACATTGCTGCCTATAAGTGCAATGTGGTTGTGTAACGTTGCCAGAAGAATAAAAGGTGTTTTGGATCATAAGTGTGGTCATTGGTAGAAAGAACACCGACAAGCTTCAAATCAAAGAGGTGCCAGTAAACTTTATTGTTAACCAATACACTCCTTTTCAGATGGTTTTTTGGACAGCGCTCGTCTCCTTTGGGACTTGTAGGGTTAAAAAAAAATACATTAACAAAAGTAGCTACATTCCTGCACGATTTCGGTATTCAAAGTTGATAAAAATCAAGAATGATGTACACTTTATAAGAACTATACTATCTGTACTTGGTTTATTGACAATTTTACTATGAAAGACCAAAGGATTATTTCATTCCATTGCTCTTTCTGCTGTAATACAACGTATTACAAGATTGTCTTGATACTACAGTTATGTCCTTCTGTGATAATGGAACCGTTCCAACACCCACTGACTTCATAGCGCTTGTTGCACCAGTTTGTGAATGCAATTAGTTTTTTTCATACCACACACAGATCAAAACTACCGTACTCATTAGCCATTATTAACAACTTCTGCTGCTCATTGATTCAGGAGTACATTGATCTGGAAGTCAACAATTCGTTTTTAATTAGGACAATCTTCCACTCTGTATATTCTTATTTATCATACAGACGTGTTGTATTGATCTTCACATGTAATAAAAACAGATTGAAAGATTCATTTACAGTTACAAAAGTAAGCAAGTTTTTCGAGCAGTTCAAATAAAGGCAAAGTTCTTACCTCTTCAGTTTCTCGCCGAGGTCAAACTTCTCGGCTGCCAGCCACGTCTCACTGGCCTTCTCTTTTCAGCCCAGCAATCAGGATTATCTCTAACTGAAGGACCGTGGCAGCGTGTTCACAAACAAATTACTCGGATTAGACTGAAATGTGGATATTGGCCCGTATAAAGAACAGAACCATGGCAGCATGTAAAAGCACATCGTCCTTACTTTATTTTGTCCTCAGTGGGATGGTCGATCTTGAGGCTTCCTCCTGTCTGCTAAGATCTGCTTTTTGTCCCCACTTGCTGTTGAATCATTCCAAGGGGATGTGTTGAGAGAATGAATAAAAAAGGCTTAGTTGTCTACATATTATACGGTTATGAGAAACCATTTGACCCTGTATGTGGTGACTGCGCCTTCTTTATGTCGCCATCGTACGTCCTGCAGGTCTTCCTGCCATGAGTGGGAACCAAAGCAAGGACGTTTAGGCAGAAAGCCAAAGCTATGCAATAACAACCAATGCTGATCGGGGCTGCAGAGTGTGGTTAGGATTCATTATTGAGCAACTCTCCTCACATTAAACAGTCATTTGAACCATTGGTGTTTTTAAAATGTTAAAAAGCAGCATTAAAGAACATATTGCATATTTTCAACAGATAACTTGATAAATCCCTCAAAACCTTCAACTTAAACTAAAATCAATGTCATTCAAGCTGAAATTAAAAATAATTTGCCAGCATTTATTTATAGTAAAGAAATCAAGCAAAAAATGTGGTTGTTTAGGGATTGATATTTATCAGAAAAGATTCGCCACCAGAAAACACAATGAAGCTACCGCAGCTCAGTTATTCATGTCGGGAAAGAGATCAACAACCGGGCGGACGCACAGCAACACCAGCCTGCCGGTGCCCGACTGCAATGTTCTGCCACATTTGCCTGGAAGACTTACGATCCCGTTAACTAGAGCTCCGCCTCGTCGCTCATTCTTTGAATGAAGAAGACCTCGATAAGAGACTGCAGCTCTGTCGGATCCTCCGTACGCTCCCTGTGGGTGTCCTGCTGGGACACACACACACAGGACACATCTACTGAACAGAAGTCTACTTTGAAAGACGAGAGCAGACATTTGGTTCTCAGAATGTAGAGTTTAGATTACAGGGGACCAAATGTCTATATTCTGGACAAACTCAAAAAAAAAAAAAAAAAGACATGATTACAAATAGTTGTGCCATATTGTATGTCCCTTACATCACTTTGTCTCCCTCTTGATCTGGAAGTCAACAATTCGTTTTTAATTAGGACAATCTTCTACTCAAAGCTTACATTCTTAGGCAGTTAGAAGTGGAGCAAATGGCCTTAAATAACATGTGGGTTGGACTAAGAGGAACCTTAAATGACCAACAGTTGACTCCAAACCAAAGAAAGTAATGCCAAGTGAATTCATCTACGATTAAACCATTCATGTTTGTAATGGTCAAACAAAAGGCTCATTATTAAATGAAGGACCTAAAGTTGGAGCCTACAGCATAAGGACACATTGGAGCACAGAGGGGGCAGAATACAAATACATCAACTTTCACAAAGGTCAGATATGTAATTCATATGTTCTCGCCCGTCAGTAGTAGAAATGGAGCAGTTTCTGTACGTAAAGTGGTGTAAATACTCGTAAATAATAGTGGTTTGAAGCAACGAAAGCGTATTTTCGACAAGGTAGGAGAATCTTTTGTAAAAGTGTAATTAGAATAAATATTAAAGGCTTGTGGAAAACTATTGCACCACGTCAGGAATTCCACTAACTGAATGTCTCCATTTCCCATAAATATCGCTGAGTTCTGCTCGGTCGCAACTACAAGTAATGTTGTGATGCGGAAACCAGAGTTATTTAGTCACATGCAAGCATGAAGAGAGACGACGCGTTACCTTCTACTGGATCTTAAGAATCAGTTGCTGTGATCATAATAGATGCAACAGCTCATTGTTAAACATGATTTTGCAACAAATTAGTTTATTTGATCCATGGGAACGATTCAGAAAAGTTAAAGAATATAAGCATGTGCCTTATAAGATACAACATTTATTAATCTTCTCCCATAGGTTCTAAAACTGAAATAATGAAAATATGACACAATGTGTAATTGTATAAGATATATTGTCTACGTGAACACAAAATAAGCTACACATTCAATATGAGGAGATTATTTCATATTATAGAAAATAGAATAGACATGTTTAAACACCCAAAATCGTAATGTTGCGCGAATAAATTAAATAATCAGCTACTTCCATGCAAACACAAATCATGTCTGAGTAGTAGTACTCCCAGTTACTTAATAGAAATGCCCATATTGATATAAGTTAACAAAGAAGTGAAAGACTTCTACTGCGATGTGCAGTTGGAAAGCACAGGAGCTTTTACTGATTCAGTGTGTCATTAATATAAGATGGGCAAGTATGTAATATTTATTACAGCACCTGAGCAGTACTGCGCATACACGTGGTTTATCAAGTGAAGGATTACATTTCTGCCCTTTCCTATAGAAATATCTCCCATAAAAACGTCTGAAACGATGCCACATAATATGTCAAAAGGATGATTACCGTACACTGGAGATTCTTCCACGTCTGTAGAAAAATGAAAGACAATTACTTAACGGAAAGAGGACGATACACACAAAGCCATGCAGAAACTTTTCCTTCCACTTGCAGGAGCGCAGATGCAATAAGGTCAGTGATGTCTCGCAACAGATGCTTTAAAATGACTTTATGCTTTCAAAAAACGTGAAAGCTCGCAAAGGTTTACCTTCCTCCCTCAAATAAAAAAAAAAAAAAAAGTTCAGACCTGTTGATTTAACTTAAAACACTGGAGCTGTAATTGACTAGCAATGTAGGTACTCACAGCGTCTCCTCAGCCACCTCTTCGCCACACATCTTGGATTTGAATTACCTGGAACGAAAGCAGACTGCACATCAGAAACCCCCAATTTAATTCACCACGCAGAAGACAAAGATACAAATTAGCATCCTGGTTTTCAGATAAAAGGACTTTTATTGTTGGGGGATCAATATAATTCTATGTTACATTTCCTTTTTTGACGTTTATCCTCTTGATATTTTCCCTCACCCGTTATGTTTGTACAAACCCTTAGTTTCTTTCCGTTGGACAGATGGTTTGCGTTTCCATTTCCTTCTCCCTTCATTGTTTTAATTATTAAACAACCAAAAAAATAAATAAAAATGTGCTACACGCCGAGAGATTGGAGCAATTGTAAAATTTGAAATTATTCCACCGCGGTCGCTGAAGGCAGAGGCTTTAAATTAGACGTTTCCTCTTGGCGGGGATCACGGCTGGAGGCAGCCGGCAGGAGTCTCAAACCATCACCTTCAGGGAGCCACTCGTGCATCTGAAGATGTACATATTGCCTCGGATATGTACGCTCGCAAACAATTTGAGAGCAAACAATTTCTCAGGAGCTTGAAAAGGCTTTGAGGTAGAACGCCGCAAGAAAATGTCCATCACAGTAAGCGTGATTAGGTCCGACACGCACCCACAAAGGCTGTAGAACAGGAAGCAATCTGATTGGAGCATCAAAAAGCCTCAAACTCAAACATCAAGATCATTCAGTCATGAGGGGTCACACATGGAAGCCCACTTCTGCCCCTGTGATAAAAAAAAAAAATTCTGCAAGTCACAATAATGAGAAACTGTCAAAATAATGACTTCGTACATCTCATAATTAATAATTGGCATTCCAGCAGCACCGATCCCTGCAGGAGTTTGATGCTCATTTTCCGCCAAAGAGTGGAGTAGGGGAGGGAAACTATGCCCTTCTAAGTCATTATTATGAGATACAAAGTCATTGTTTGACTTACAGGATCTCACCTTACCCTCACAGGGGAATCGGCTTCCACGAGGAGTCCTAATGTAGACTGTGCCCTGCGGCTGTGGAGAAGCTTTATAAAGTCAGAAAACATTATACGGTCTACGACTCTATTCTACAGTTCGTTGACCGTTACTAGAAATGCAAGCAACCTGGGTTTTAGGAGCTCAGGTCATTTTTTTGGACTAAAAGTTGGGGTCTCTCTGCCACTGCAGCTCTGTCTCGACATTGTAAAGAAATTCGCAGCAAGTGAAATACTGCAGCACATAACCCTGTAAAATAAAACAACCAAGATACATTCATTGAGTTTAGGTATCAGTGGCTGCTCGTGTTCAGAGGTTCTCGGCTAAATACACAATGGCTTTATCTTCATATTAAATATGACAGACACAAACCTTCTCAAATTCTCCACAAGCAACAAAAAATGTTTTCAGGGAAAAACTTGCTGTCTTAAGTGTAGTGATAATTCACTGGATTATTGCTTGAATATAGAAATGTGACGTAAATCTATATCTAATCGAGAATCTAACATACTATATTGATATAAACATTTTTAATAAATACATATTAATGTACATTATATACAGTACAGTTATAAATATAAATTCTGATTTTAAGAATACAGGTCAAAGTTAGAGGGATGGATTCAGTGAAGTTTTGTCTGCTATCTTAAGCTCCCTATTAAATACATATCAGTTACACGTCAGAACAACCCTGAGACCCCGTTTATTGCACAAGCTTATAAATCAGATCATAAAAGCAGCTTTGTGTGCGCTGAGCGGTGGAGGGGAGCGACGGCATATTTTTAAGAACAATAAAGTTTGCTTTTGAACAGGTGTGGAGTCGCTCCTCCAGACAATAGGTTGGGCTCAGCTCAGTGTACTCAGTAAAACAATGAGCCGGGACGCACGTCAAGATGGGCCTTTTTTCAGCTGCTTGCTGGGGGGGGCATTCTTCTAACAACGCATTTCAGACATCTTGCTTCTTAAGAATTATGTTAATCCAATTGCTCAGATTTAACCACAGTGGCTCATTTAATATACTGATGTTGGGGAAAATATAAAGAATTGCTTCACTTCCCCCCTCCTCCTCCTCCTCCTCCTCCTCCTCCTCCACCTCCTCCTCCTCCTGTTTTTCTCCCAATTCGTTTCAAAGGGCCAGCTGCACATTCAATCCCTGCATGCCATATTGACACCGTCTCCATATATGGTTACTGTCCAACGCCACGCTGCCGTTTTAACTTATTTTACATATCAGCTCAAATTCAAACATTGCAGCCTTGTGTGGTTGTTACATGCGTGATCGCTTTGAGTCGCTGACGTCAAAAGGACAAGAAAAAGAATCGTGGGGGAGAAAATTAGGGGAAAAAAAGACTGAGGAATGATGAAATACCATCTGGTTGAAGAAAAGCACCGACTGGAAACTCAGAGAATTTGCAGTGTATGAGGGTTGTCGGGGCTGGCGTATTAAACCTGAATTTGCTTTAATGCGTGCGGCCAGTCGCCGTCTGGCTGGAACTGGGAAATAACACACAGTCCCGACAGCAGCAGGAATGCTGCAGGGAGCCGGGTTGGGCATTAGTGAAAGCCCCAAAGCATGCTACCAACACAGCGGCCTCGGGGGCGAGCTTAGCACCTTCTTCACCAGCATATGCATCGCTCAGATCACAACACATGAAAGAAAAACCATCATAAAATCTTTAAGACTCTACTTGGAAAACATCTGAGGCAATCTAATTCTGCATTCATGGCTTGGTTTGATAGTTTGTTAGACCAAGACGCAGGTTTACGTACTTCAGACAGAATTTATCTTTTTTGTAAGGTTATCAACGGTTCAGTTTCATTAGAAATGGCAAAATATGAGGTCTACCTTAAGGCGGATTCAAACGTGAGGTCAGAGGTCATGGTCGGATCTTACCTCCCGCATGTTCCAGAGGAAGAGAAAGGATTAGCAGCAAGCTCAGGTCAAATTCTTTCACATCCAGACAGACACACGTTCAGTCATCTCACCCACTCATCCAAAAAGCACACTTCATACAACTCTGTCCATCATGTGACCACATCGCTCTTCTGTGACTGGCCGGTTGTCAGTTCTATTGTTGGAGGCAGATGAGTTATGCCAGAAATTGGAAATACAACTTGTTCCCGGGGACAAGAAAAAAAAAAAAAATCTTTTGAGAATTGATGCAGTACAGAGCTGCTATGTGCACAATTCTGATTATGCATGTTAAAAAGGGAAAAAAAAAAGTGTGCAATAGTTTTTAAATGGATGAATGCAAACCACACTTGTGTATCCTAAAAGTTAGATTTACAATGTTTCTGACAGGACTTGAAGGGAGCAGAGGACTTAACAGTAAAATGTCTGATTGATATTACACCTCAAGTTATGTGCAACAAGGACTCCAACTAGCAATTCATTTGAACTCTGTGGTGTTTGGTAGGTTTTCTGACATGATGCTCCAGCTTACACATCCCACACAGACCCAAACACGTGCCGACAGTTGACGTTACCTCAAATAAATCCTCAATTCCTCCATTGCGCAGTCTTGGGTGGTTCTTCTCTTTCTGCATCCATGGTGCGAGCTTTTCCGGAGAGCACACACAGAAAATCTGAAATATTCAAAATATCCCACGGCTGGTCACTGCCGACGTGTTTCGTGGAACAGACTTTTACATTTGTGCTGTAGGAGATAATCCACATTGCTGTTCACGATGACTACAGTTGCAATCAGGCACCTGTGACAACTGGTGCAAGTGACAACAGCTGGCGAACGTCCAATCAAATCACAGCTGTGCAACAGGCAATTAACCCGACATGGCGTCACATTTGTTGCTTTCATTAGCGGAGATGTTTGGCATGCGCATTGTTTAATTTACTACCTCGAGCACTACGAGCATTTAACACTTGCAGAAGGAGAAGTAAATTAAACGACAAACACGGTATTCTCTCAACCACTGTAGAATAATGTGAAATATCAGCCTCAATCATACAGAATTACAGTAATTCGTAAATATATTTTTTTCCCCCTCTTAAACTCGCATGAGGAAAATGTAAGGAAAATAAAAAACAAACAAACACCCTGCGCTACAATGTGGTCCGGTGGAGAATGAAGGAATTATGGAGGAAACTTAGTGTGGAATACTTTAATGTCTTTATTACTGTTGTTGAGTGAAGCGTACAATGTTCAAAATACTCATCCAGTTGGATGTGCCCACTTGTATGACATTGGGTCTGTTTGGAAAGGCCAAGCCTATGCAAAACACACTAACAAGTGTCTGGTTAAAAATGGAAGAACTTGTGACAAAAGGTCGTACAAATAAAATAAAAAAACACTATTAAAAAAAACATAAATGTCACATCAAATCACATTTGAAATATTTGGTCAAGCTCCCCTGCTCTTTTCAGGAGCCATGGAATGTGATTGTCAGACTTTTGAGCAGTAATATTGATCAATTTAATGCCCTGGCAAACCAACAATTATCAAAGCTTGTATCGCACAAAAAACTATCAAAAGGGAATGCGCTACTTAAGACTGCATCAGTGAAACAAACATTAAAATCAAAACTCGTACTATTATATTGAGTTGCTTTGAGGCTTTCATGTACCTCAGCTGTCATAAATGTTATTATTTTGCAATGATAAAGCCAGAAGACTTACATAGTGGTAAATATCCTTGTATTTTACTAGTATCTTGCTATATGCTTCGGCAGCCTGGTTTTACTTTCAGTCCCATCAATTAGAAAATGATAGCAGAGCTTGAGAGTTGGTATACAGGCAATGAAGAAGTTAGTAATTAGTAGAAGTTAAGGTAGATTCTAAAAAAAACGCAGGTTGGTTAGCTGATTTCCTACATTGTAAATCGTACAGTGAAGGCACCTTGTCCAGCTGCTTTTTAAGAGGAATGTCTGAAGATTTTAAAGTGATCAAACAGGCACAAAATCTACAAAGAGCTAGAAATAGAAAAGGACAAAACACAAAAAAACATAAATAAAAAACACAAAAGGATAATAATAATAAAAGTCATAATGGCCTTCTGACTATTCAACACTCTTATATCCACCAAAACCAACTGCCTGTTGTTGAAGAGTTTCTGGATGCAAAAAAGCAAAAATATCTTTTGCAGCGAGTATAAAAATGTTATACAAGATACAGTATGATAGGTCATATTCAAAACATCACATCTGCTAACATATATTACTCAGACCATTGCTGCACTATTGGTAAGACAATAATAAAAGTGAAATCAGCTAAATTCTAGAAGTGCTTATATTTCTATCCTGAACTGGTGAACATTGAATAAAATAGCAATGTGTGAAGCTTTTGCTTTAAATATAAATAAGAAAAGAGATGGAACATGTGCTGTATGAGGGAGACTACTGATTTCATCCATCTCTTTGGAATGTGGAAACTTTGAACGCCATATGGTACAACAGATAAATCGAAATTGAATTGTTTTTTTCTTTCTGGCAGGATTGTAATGTAAAAAGTAATTAGTAAAAGTAATTATAAATGTCCAAATTTCACAGCATTTAGTTTCTTTTAGAAAGCAAGAATCATGGTGCAAAGGCACTATACGTGGCAACCGTACAAAATATGATGCTGTTTCAGTACAGTGCTAGGACAGCGTCTCTGCTGTCCCTCCCGTTTTCTTGGGTTCCCTCTCGGGAGTGTAATCATTATTTGGTTCTTAAGACAAAGTCAAGGGAAGAGCCTTGGATTGTCGTGGTCCCCAGTTTACGTGGCTCCTTCAAGACATTAGTGTCCCATACCTGGTGAAAGACACAAAACAAGCCATCAGTAGCGTCACACTAATAACTCTGACCAAAAGGCCCAAACATTCTTAGTTGAGCCATTGTTCTAAATTGAATAAAGAGATTTAAATGACCAAAATGCCGGTAGGATAGTTGGTAGTTGTCGAATAGAGCCGAGCATGTGGTGCGAAGCTGCGTACTCACACGCCCTCTCAAATATCTGCAAGGTTCTGCAGCCAAAACCCAGCAGGACACACACCCTCCACACAAAGCCTCAGTCATCGCCTGTGTCAGACTGTGATGGCGTGCTAATCTCCAACATACCAGCTATAATTGTGCCGAACTGGCCTGGCAGGAACACTGCCTCTCACACTGGTAACGCGAGAGGCAGGGCGGCGCTCCCGAGGGGAACAAGTCGCCGTGCGCGCGAGTGGGAAAGCTGAAAGCCTCGAGTGGCGTCGAGGTGGCTGTTGAGTGGGTTTTTACAGCGCTGAAAGTGGTGTGCATTTATGCGTGTGTAATGCTGTGCGCTGCACAAACACACGCGTACATTTCTTCAAGGCCCAAACCAGTCTTCTTCCCGCTGGGAGAACAAAAGGAGGGTTTCGGTCCTGGTTTTAAAATAGCAAGCAATGCCTAAGTGGCATCCTAAAGCGCTGTGGTGGCCAAACGGAAAAAGACTGCAGGGAAGGCTGTGATGGGTTTGTAACGCATGGTGGCGTACACTTAACAAGAAGGTCAAACCTCCAATCTCTGTTAGGAGAAATGTCCTTGCTATTTTGCAAGACGATAATTCTTTCAAAACACAATTTGTTTGTGATGAGGAGCCAGCGAGCAATCATGTGCTCTTAGCTGCACTTCAGACACCTGGTGGGATCAAAAGGAGAGACGTGGTTGTCTACAATCTCTGTCAGTAGGCTGACTACAAGTTTATAAAAAGCACATTGTAACTTTCTGGTTAAAACCGTTATTTTTTGTGTGTGCGTGTTTTTTTTTTACTTCAACTAAGTGTGCCACAGTCAACTCTGTGGGTTGAGAAAATTCCCCTTTCTGGTCTTTTGTTTTCTAAAGCCAATTAGAAAAATAAAAAGTACTGTGGCGAAGCTAAGAAAAAGCTGGTATTTCAGAGGTTCTGAAAAGTTCAGCATCCAGTGTAAACGCTCGCTTGAGCCGCTTTGTTCTCTTGCACACACACATTAGAGAGTTCTGCCGTCCTGAGCCGACACTTCTGGTGCTTTGTAAAAACTCACCGTTGGCGACTGATTTGGTCTCCCCCCCTCCTGCCATCTGCAAGACACGAAGAACAGGAGGATGACAAGGCTGCAGAGTTGGAAGACCGGTACAGTAAAAAAGGATGCAAAACATACTTACAGAGCCTACAGTCAAAGGAGAAAGTGCCAAGAACCGCCTCTGTGCTTCCACTTACATTAATACAGACCCATCCAGTTCTCCCTCAACAACCATTAGCCTGCTCAGCTCACCTCCCCTGACATCACGGTATAGCACGGTTAGCTAATAACAAGGTCCCTAACCACCACCTTTCCTAGCCAGGGCCTGTTTTTACGTCAGTGCAGGCCGACGTCTGGTGCCCTCCAACCCAACTACTCACTGTGGCGGACCGCAACCTCCGGTCCGCACGGCAGCGGTTGGCTGCAGGAGCACACTACTGCCAGTGTAGGAAGGTCTGTACTAAAGTAAAAAGGGTAGGTGGGCCGTCTTTATGTCTTTTTCAAATGTGGGACTTCAGTCAATCTCAACAGCTCTACAAACACAACTTTATCTATGTATAGAAATAAAGGAGACAGATTATTTGTGTCAGGTTTTAGTCAGATTTGTTTAAAAATGTGAGGCAATAACAGTGATTCAATAATGTCAAACGGCCAATGTGCAACTCAGCAAGGCATCTTACGTGTCGAGAAGGCTGTAAAAGGTTTCTCCATTAGGGCCATATAAAGTCAAGTGAAGTCGAACTGAGAGTAGTGATTTGTGGTTGGCAGAAAAGGGAGCGGTGATGTGATACAGCCATTTGTAAAAAGCATTGAGGCTGCAGTTGGACAACAGGCGTGGTCTTAAAGGTCTTTTTACGACGCAGAATTTACACTGAACTGTAATCTACGAGATTTTGTTGAGTCAGCTTTAACACGTTATGGGTGTTAATGTAGTCAACGGTGTGAAGCATTAAAAATGCCTGTAATATAAAGCTTGGTTTATATGTTCTTTGTTCCTTTTATTTTTACACAGTTTAATATTTGTTACACATGCTTTGCAGGTTTCATTCCTAAATGTGCAATTTGGAAAGCGGTTGATGTATATTGCTCAACGTTTACAAAATGCACATAAAATGTTGCCAGTTTGTGTGTGAAGGGACTTGAATAACATTCCCAGCCAGAGCATTTTTCAAATCAAAACGTAGATATAATCATTATGATTAAAATAAGTAGCTTTGCCAACAACAAAGAGAAAACGTGGACAGTGTGACAGCAGAGAGTGAGGTTATTCTGGGATAAGCGCTTTGAAGAAAAATGGAAACAATTACACCTTTACCTCTCCAGGCTTATTCCAGATTAAACGGTGAAGTCAACTAGCTATGAGAGTTCTTAAAAGAAAAGAGAACACGAGTGATGGTTACTCTGATTGCTGCTACACCAGGGTCAAGATCTTGAGATGATTTGAATATTTCTACAACATTGCTCATCAACAAAACGTTGATTGATATTTGGAAAACGAAGAAAAAAAAAAAACCCATAGGAAATACTTTTAGTACTAATACCATGTCGAAAAAAGTGAACAAAAGGGTCATGGTATACCATGCCGAATAAAGTCATTATACAGCATGTAAAAAAAAGAAAAGGTCATTGTATAGTGTGTTGAATAGTCATAGTGTACCATGTTGAATATAGTAATAATACAGCATTTTGCAAAAAGTGAGAAAAAGGTAGTAGTATAGCATATCATTGTTAGCATGCTAATTCTGAATAGGTCAATGTCCAAACATATTAAGGACTTATCTTTTTAGGAATCTTTATGAAAGTCACTTATGTCTTCACTGTTTATATGCTCACAAGCTTATTTGCTGAAAGGCACACACACACACACACACACACACACACACACACGCACACGCACACGCACCAAAGCACCAAAGTTTAGACAGGGTGAAACGGTGAAGCTAACTGAAAGCAAAGTTAGAAGCGGTCATGGTCATTGAGTATTCTGCCTTAATCAAAATACGTTGCTTTTAGCGCGTAGCGGATAATAAAGCACAAGTGATTTACATCATCATCCATGAAGACATTGTTTATAATTAACCGGTTACTTAAACTACAGCGGGCCCTCGTGTTTTCATGCATAAACGTCTCTCTGAATGTCCGGTGGGATCAATGCCCCCACAGCTACCTCTGCCTCAGCGGGGGCGCACTAGAGACAAGGTCATGTGTGGGGAATTCGAACAGACAATGTTTACTGAGCCATCAGCCACGGCACCAACAGTCCCTCCCATCTTAGATACTTAGTTTCCCGTATTAATCATAACTCTATTTGTCTGCTATTTCCCTGTGCTATTCCACCACACACGTCTCAAACACAAAAAAGTGAAAAATGTAATTGTGTAGCATGTACAAAAAAAAAAAAAAAAAAGTCATAGTACAGTATGTCGAAAAAAGAAAAAAGGTCATGGTATTTAATATTGAAAAAAGGTCATAGTATTTAATATTGAAAAAAGGTCATAGTGTAGCATGTTTAAGGAGCACAAGCAAAATTGGCATTGTCAAAACCTCATCTGGATGCTCATTCAAATTTTCCCAGATGGTTGAGAGCAAAACACTGATCATCTCCTCATTATGACACTCGTGAATAGTTTGAAATAAATAATATCTACCTTGGTCGGAGAGGCACCTTTGTTTTCCCATAGACTCCTCTTGTTGGTGACATCCACAGGCTTCAGGTCCTGTTTTGATGGAAGGCAGAAAACCAGAGATGCAGACAAAGAATAATATCAGCGGTGCTCAGAGTTTAGGTTTGTAGGTCAATTTGAAAATGGTTGTCATTATGCAACAATGGTTGAGAATCTGAGCCGTAGAGGAGAGGGAATAACAGACAGACAGCGTCAAGCACAGAGGGTTTTGTCTAAAAGAAGTGTGGGTCATTAAGCACTTAGAATATTGGAAAAGCTTTGCCAAAAGATTTCTAGAATTGAAAATTCTGATGGAAACATTTACTTGTTGGACCCTCAATTTCTGAAATTAAAAGTTTCCTTTCTTACCCTCAGTCTCTCCTGCTTTGTGTTCACTATTTGAGTGCAAGCAACATGGAAAGAACATCTAACGTAAATATTTGTATGAAAATTGGGTAAGAACAAAGATGCATGATACGTTGGCATGGAGCTAAACACATGAGCCGGAGGGGAAAACCCCACACAAGCTTAAGGTAAAATGCTTAAGAGCACTTATTTTATTTTAGGACCACCAGAGGGTGCCAGACAGAAAATAGCCATTTGAAAACATCTGGTGTACAGAACATATTATTATTAAAAAATAAAATAAAATAAATAATAATAATGGCTGATATAGGAGTGAGAGTGATGCCTTTGATCATGATTACTTAAAGAAATGCAGTCCCTGTTCCAATGGACAACTGTTAAACCATTAAGACAAATAAAAGATAATAATATTGAGTGTTTAAAAAGTTTTTAACAAAGTAGGTGTTGCATTAATTTGTTGAGTTTCATGACCAAGTACACTTTATAAATCGCTCTAAAATTCTACATCATTTACTTCTTCAGGACTGTTTTGACCAGATTTGTCTTTTCGGGTATTATGTATGCGCTATATGTAAACAATATCAACTACCACTCAACAATAGCAAAAGGCAGTTGGCAGATGTTTTTCCTTTTCCGGAGGATGCTTGACCTCATATTTTGCATAAGGATGAGCTAACAGCTGCAGACCAAAGTAGCATGACACTATCTGTAGGAGAAAAACAAGCTTCTGCTTCCTTTTTCTTGGCTAATAGAGTCCCGCCCTAAAAAAAAAAAAAAAAGAAGTCTGAGAAGAGAATACTCTTTTTCCTTCAGCCGCGGCATAACTCGCTCATCACTGTGAACAAATAGTTGTAGTTATTTCTTTCATGGCTCAGACGTTAGATCCTGAGATTAAAGAGAGAAAGTCAATACATAATGCAGAAATCTACACATATCCAAAAGGACCGTATTGCAGGTCAATTTAAACCAATTTAAAACCGCTGCATCTGCTCTGTAGCCGTAGGACTCTGACCTGTACAGTACATTTACTGTACTTCTTAGCAGCAGTGACGGGGGTTGCTATGGTGACGACCTACCGCTGGCCTTCCTCCCAATGCTTTGCCGCTCTCCGGGGTTTTATTCAGCCAGTCGTTAATGCGACCCGCCACGCCTGTCTTCATCACAGCTGCTTCCTGTTTGGATAAGGTCAAAGGTCAGCAGAGCCCGGTGGTCATCAGCAACAGGAAAGCAGGAAGTGCCAGTGAATTGGTCTCTCCAATCACATCCTATCATCCGCCTCTTCTCTTACCTTAAAGGGGATCCCGCCACTTCCCGGTGTGCCGAACACGTTGCCTCTCTCCCACATGGTCTTGATGTTACGGATGCTGTCTGTAACCACGGGAAGATCTGCTGCTCCAGAACGAGGGGATCGAGATTCCTTGTTCTCTCTCTGCTGGTACAGAGTGGTAGGATTATACTGGTGAATGGCAGAGATGGCAGTTCTGATCAAAGCGCACTACCCGGACTTTAAAAAACAGCAACGACTGTGCAGGTGATAAAACCTTTAGGCCCAGAAAAGTAGCCAGAATCATATATTTTTTGCATACAAAGAGTGGAAACCGATCAGGAAATACAGCTATAAGTAAGTAAGTTAAGTCAATATTCAGATAGTTTAATTGGCTGCTTATTTGGATAAAGCACAAAATATGACAAAACAAACCTTTTATTAGGATAAATTAGGCTGGGTTTTTTTCTGGTATTTGTCACCTATTTGAAATGTGCATACATTGCATAGTTTTCCATCGGTTTTGTTTATGTTTTCCTTCAAGAAGTATTGTAATATTTTGGATGTTTGCTGTGCCTCGTAATCCTACTTTTTGAACGACAAAAATACAAACTTTGTGTCGTACATCATAAACGTGGAATCCACAATACTGCCTCAATCCTCCAACATTTTTGCGATTTTATGACCTTCCTGGATGGGTGGAAAAGCTGACCTGAGCAGCGGAGGTGTACTGCTCCAGCCTGTTGTCGATCTTGGACACCACAGGAGAATGAGCCGCCTTCAGTGTGCTGCTGGGCAGAAGCAAACGGTTAGTGTACACAACATGGAACCACTTAGGATATTATACACACGGGGGTCAACCATCCTCAGTGCCTGGAGAAAAATACATTTGCAACCCCAATGGGGAATTAAACCCTAAGTTTAAAGCTTTGTTAGTGGGAACATGATTATTGTACCTCTTCTGTGCTGACTTGTTGAGAAACTCTGCCCTTTCCCCAATCTGTTGAGAGAGGGGATGGTAGCTCTAGGTTAATAAAGATTGCACACAGATAGAAGACATTTTCATTTTAAAACTAAAGCCAATAAACAAAACAAAAAAAACAAAACATTTTCAATGCTGAAATGAGTAGTTTCAGTGTAAAAAAGTCCTGACTGTTTACAAGTCAACATGTAGACACATAATGTCCTTAGATGGTTAATAACTGCCAACAAGTCTTTTAAAAATGTGAACTCAGTTTTTTTTATATGCTAAACTGGATTCTTCTGACTAGCAACACACAATGTAAGTGATCATTCCCTTCATAGGCCAAATTACGTGAAAGACATGAACAAAAACTCTCACACGTTTTTTTTCTCGGCTACGTGCTGTCGGACTGTGGGAGTCTCAGAGGATTGTTTATGGTATTCTTAAAAAAGGCAACGCACAGTTCCTTAGGCCCTTGCAGAAAAAACAAAAAAAACAGACAAAAGACAAAACTGCAGAGAAAGCTTCCCCCTTTCTCCCCCCTCTCCCTGTGAAAAGGGATCTTGCGCTCGGCTGCAACCGAATGTGGGAGTTCCAGAAATACTCCCGACAGGAAATTCCCCATTCTCAGACGCGTTTTAAAGAGCCGTAGCCATCCGAACGCAGTTACAGTAATCCTGTTAACCCTAATCGCTTCCCTGCATCCCAGCAGCCTGTCCTTCATTCTGTCGCCCTGTCCTTCGCTCACAGGGAACACTGAGCTTTATCTCCAGTGCGGAGCGGGGTTATGCTGGTCCACTGCTGATAGCATGTGGGCGAGCGCCTGGTGACTGTGCGTTCCACCGGGAGGTGGTCCCTGGCGTCCCACTGTTGCTCATGGTTTATCGTACCAGGAGCCACACTGTGAGAGTAGTTGGGCGTAAAAACACAACAACAGAAATTCTGAACGGCATGCATGCATTTTGCAAACGAACCTGTGCAACGAACTGTGGTAATTCAGTGTCGCGTAAACAAAACCGATAGGATTGCACTGCAAAGGAACAATTCATATAAACAGCACACGGGGCAGTGCATGACGAGTTAAACTGGCGAAAAAAAACACCCTCCCCCCACACACACACACACACACACACTCAGCTGTACCTACAGTGAACATCACCACAAAGTAAAGTTGCGTCTGGGAAGAGAGTGCAACATGGAAGAAAATTAGTTAAAAATGATTTACAAAACTGACCTCAAACACGGTAAATCGATTCCGGTACATCAGAGCTGCCACTAATGTGTGCAGACATGTGTTCACTGACCCATTAACGGTTTACTAAAATCCTGTTTGTATGGAAAAAGTAACTTTATTAATGTACTTGAAATGTCCAAGTCGCACATGCTGGCATTTCACTAGTGTGCCAGTGCAAAATACACATTTGTAGATACTTGTCCTTGCATATTATAGCTCTAAAATCTCCAGCTGTACCTGCCTGATCCTTACTGCACATGAGCAGCGATCAAAAGAAATGAGAAAGAAGATGGCTCACTCGTTAACTTGCATCATCGATTGTGAACAGCGTTTGTTTGTTTATTTCAAGAGCTGATAATCAAATAGAGACGTGGGCAAATCGAGAGCGGCCTCGCCTCCATCTAATTTCTGGTGAGAGCTGCACGATGAGGAGCGACTCGCGTTGCTGTTGTCGGTGTGTAGTTTAAATTCACTGAACCACTTACTCCCCAATAACCAATCCAGCATTTTAGGCCGGGAGGACATTCTGATCCTGCAGTTGGTATGGGAACAAACCTACTGGTCAGTTACCACAAATGGAGAATGTCAAATTTAAAATAATCACCCGACAATGTGGAGTTTTTTTTTTTTTTAAACAGTAGCCTTTATGCATTCACGTTTTAACTCCAACAAAGTTTCAAACCAATTCACCGTTGAGAAATATCCAGTAAACAGTTTTGACCTTGACAATTTATAGAGGTTGCAGAAAGTAGGACTAACTTCTGCAGCATTTAACTCTGGCACTTTTTCAGCCCCGATTCTGGAGTCTCACCAGGACGGGCCAGATGGAGATCACGGCTCACTGTCACTAATTAGATTTTCTCCACTAGCTGAAATTTCCCCTCGAGTTTCAGCGTGTGGGAGTTGACTTTCGGCAACACTGGAAACATTTATACACATTTGAGTTGATTAAACGTTCCTTCGCAGTGACAAACATTTATCTTGGGGCGAGGTTGGGAGGGCCAGGCGCTAGATTTGATTCAGGCTGCTTTTTCTCTTGCAGCGTGTCTCATGACAAACTGTTTTACATGTCAGCAGAATTTCAATGTGAACAGCAAAGTGAAATACAGAAAAAAAAATGTACTTTTTTTCCCCCCACCGTTCTCCCCTAATTCATTGAGGCTCTTTTTTATTTCTCAACACCCCCATCTCGGTCAAATAACACTTCATGCGGAGAGCTTAAAGAGGTGAGAAGGGCAGGAGCGGGTCATATGGCACTTAATCTTAAAAGGACCCACTGTTTTATGAATGAAATCCATGTCCAATATGGCAGCATAACAATAAGTATGAACAATGTGGGTTTAAAAAACAGCCAATTGGCAAATGATACTGCACTGACTATTATCCCGTTGAACGCAGAGAAGAGGTTGGAGGTCAAAGGACAGAGGACCAACCTTCAACGAGGAGCCTCTGGGACTGACACACTTGAAGGGTCTTCCCTCCCCGTCCATGGTGTCCTCCACCTTCTGCCTCTTCTCAGCTGCCTCCGCTCTCCTTCTTTCAATCTCCTCCTTCATCTTCCTCTTCTCCTCCTGGGACAAAAAGACAGATGTGTTGTGATCCGAGGCAGTTCAGCAGATGAAGTATCAGAAAGAAAATCCTCAATATGATTGTTTTTTTGTGTTTATTGTGACATCTCAATTTTATCAGAACATGTGTAGGGGGCGCTCTGATCTTTCAGAGCCCGGCCATGCAGGATATTGCTGCTCGAGCGAACGTTTCTCTTCTATTTACTCCAAACAAACCACTGTTGCTACTGGAAACTAAAGCACGCTTCCTGTGCACGAGTGGGTTTTCCCTTGGAACGACCGAACAGACCCAGAGGGCTGAGAGCAGCAAATGCAAAACCGTTCAAGGACTTGGTTACACGTTGAATGACTTTCCCGTGGTTTATGTGCTGCCATATTGAACAGCATAAGCAACCAATATGACAAGACAACCAACATCAACAACATCAGCAATGCATCCAAGCCAGACAATGAGACACTTTCTAATTGATTTACTTACTCGATCTAATGAAGCAGTCTGGAGACACATTTAATTACTCAAAGCAAATTCGTATTTACAGTGATTGCCTGCCTCAGGGGGAAAAAAAGGCATTTTGGATAGCTTGAGACATGCAAACAATCAACGGTTTAAAATAAAAATGAAGGCATGAGCCATTTGTACTGTATTCAGAAGAGGGCTGGTGCTTGACAGTGTATCACCCAACTCCAGCAGCCTTGTCTTGCTTAATTAGTCTCTCCGTATCTGTGGGCCATCTTTTAATTACAGACCAAAAGGCCTCATTAAACATCACACAAGAGGAGAAGAATGGCGGCAGAGAGTGAGCGATGGGCCGCCACATTCAGAACCAAGATCAACCAAGAAGACCAGTCATGGTAGCGGGGAGAATTCCTCAGTCGGAGCAAACAAAAAAGGGAAGATGGACGACGTTGCGCGGTTGAATACAGACTTGAACACATAGGAAGACGGTGTTCATCACATTTGAGATACATAATGATGAGGTAGTCATGAAAAGGTGGATGAAGGAATGACATGCATGAGTTATGAGATAGGGACCCAAATAGCTCGAGTCGTGATAACAGTGAAGGATGGCGAGATAACGTCACTGCGGCGCTACTGTGAGTGTGATGCATGGGCCTCAGCTCACACAGGTGTAAAGGCTAAATCGACGTAAAGTGTGAAGTGAAGAAAAAAAAAAAGGGAAAGGAACTTGGGTTGTGAAATCTGACGATGTTTCCTAGAATAATAAGAGAATAGAGAGAGAGAGAGAATAGATGAGGAATACGACTTAAATCCAACTGAATTTAAACGACGTATTTGAGTGATAGAAACACATATCTTAAGGTTGTAGCCATTTTGGCGCAGTAATAGCCTGCTGCTAAATTGCTTCCGTTCCAGGATTATTTAGCTTTGCTGGTCTTAAATGCCAACGGCACATGACCAGCATTACGTGCGCCTGCAGAATGAGTTGTGTATCAACATACGTCGGCTATACAGGATCATGTGCTCCAGCTAACAGCACGCCATGGAAATTGCTCTCAAATTTCAGTCAAAAATTGCAATAGGAGACTTGGACCTAGACGCCTGAAACTCAGCTGTTGTTTCCCCAAATAAGTATTTGGAACCTCTTTTGAACCACACAAAAGTGTATATTTCCAAAAACAAAAAATGCAAGGAAAAATACATTTTCAGTTTGAATTCAGCATCTACAAAGTAACGTCTTTACCTCCTCCCTGGCTTTTCTCTCCGCCTCCTCCTGCTTTTTCTGCCTCTCCTCCTCCTCCAACACCTTCCTCCTTTCCTCCCTCTTCCTCTTCAGCTCCTCCAGCTCGGCTTCGGCCTCTTGCTGCTTCTGCCTCATCTTCTCGAACTCCTCGTTCTCCGCGTCGTCGCGTCTGCGCTTCAGCTCCTCCAGCTTGAGCTCGGCCTCCAGGCGGGCAGCGTCGTCCTGGTCGTCACCGGCGGACACCTCGGGGGAACGCACACTGCTGCGACTGGGACGGGCACACGAATGCGGGTCACAGCAAAGCCGGTCGACATTCAGGCTCACACTTGACATTTGATAGGAACTGAATATTTAAACTCTTTCAGGGACAAGCAAACACACAGAGACAGAACAAGTATAATATACACAAATACCAACGCACATCTCTAGTTTCGGCCAGTGTTTGACGCTGGAGACCAACTTCAGGTGACCAAACACACTACTGCTCTGCTACTGGTAAACAGCATGCTTCAGAATCAGATTTTCAACAATCAATCGATCGACCAGTCATTGATCAGCATATAACAAGTGTCAAACAATTTTCCAATTTCCTTTTCCACTCCATTATTTTCAGAATGAGTGCCAGAATGTAATATAGTTCAGGCCTACATATTGTTCTATGGGTTTGATGCTATCAATAATCTATTTCACATACTGTAGATATGTGTATATTTCTTGATCATGAATATCAAGTTACTGCAGGGATCTGTCAATCAAAGTAGCCACGCCCATCCGCTGTTATTTTACTCTAATCAGGGCCATAATTGACTAAATGACCGTCATGTTGTATTAAATCCATATATGTATCAGAAATATTGAATTTGCGTGAGGAATTACGTGGGGAAAAAATAAATCATAAATCCTATTGATGCTTCTCTGGAACGAAATGGAATAATATTTTGTTTCTGCCTATTTTTGTAAAAGGACTGATCACATTCAGGTAACTATTTTAAAGATTATTGGGCACACTTAATTGGCAACAAATTGGGACATGAACTTGGCAGACAACGGAGGTTCTTGAATAATTCATCGGACCTGGCTGTCCACAGTGCCATTGCGTCGGTGTACCTGAGGATCCTCTCCGGTTTCCTGTGCTGTTTGGGTGTAGCCTCCTCCTCGTGGAGCCCTCCGTTCTGCCTCCTCTGCTCCTCTTTGGCCCAGCCGGTCTCATTAACCTGCACAGAAAACAACGACAGGAGACAGTGAGCAGAGGAGCGACTAGTGGACAGGCTGAACGGGACATCACGGGATGTCGAACGAGAACGAGCGCACACCCGAAACAAAACAACACAGAACATCTAATGACACAGCGTCCACTCCAGGATAACCAGTGAGACGGGATTACCGATCATATGATCATCATGGGAGGGTTGCCCACTGTATATTTTGTATCTCTAACCTCTGATCAAAAAGATTTATTAAACATAATCCTTGTGTATTATGAACACTCACGTCCATCATTTTTGAGAAACATATACTATGAACCTGTGGCCACAACGGTGCATTGTTGATGCTAGCACATTCTATGCATATTTTTACAAATCATAAGCCTAGCTGGTGGACCTACTTAACGGCAGGCTTCAAAATAAACTCTGTTAATTACCTACTCACTTACTGTAATTAGGCATTTGCATTAATCTGGGAATTAGGGAGCGCATGCAGCTCATAATGGAGAAAAGAGTCACACTTTTATTAATCTAGGGAGTAACAAATGTCGCAAGAAATGCTTCTTGACAGGAACATTAAGGGGCTTCGAGCATCGTAACCGTATCAAGGGCTCTGAAAACACTTCATGAAACTGAGGTCAAAACAGGTCACAATGACCAAGACCACTAAATGGAATGCTTAGTTCATTGTGTTTTGTTTGCCAATGGAAGAAGAGATGGGCGCAGAGTTGGAGAGCTGCAGCTTTTGGTTTGTGTGTGATATATTAATGCATTAAAACATATTTGTGGAAAAGTAGGACATTTGTGTTGTTTTCTTATTGAACCTACTAAAACATGTGACTGGAAGTAGGACACACGGTATGACGGCTCAATGATTGGTAGATGTCTCCTTGCGTCAAACACACCCATTATTTTAAATGACATTATGTTCCTCTGCTGCGGAGAGCGTTTGGAGTGGAGTCTGTGTAAGAAGTGTTACTGCTCTCATGGTTGACATTGAAGACATGCAGAAAAACACCGTGACCACAAAACATTACGGCCACTTTGCAAAAAGTGCAAGCCACTCTGTGACGACACGGGGTGTCTGGGTAATTTCAGCGTCTGGCTCCGACATAAATCACAAGTCAACAAGATGGCCTTATTAAAATATTCCTTTTGGGGCTGAATCTGGAAAGGTTTCCATTCATGACACTGAAGTTACCCAGAGATATTTTCTGTGCTGTGCATCACACCTCAGCTGCAAAGCTCACCACATTAATGATACCTTATTATCCTCTGAGTGTAGCATCTCAGACACCTTATTGTCCTCTTCGGAGGCATTTATGAGAGTCATGGAATAATCTACATGATCATCCTCAGGTACCTCCTCAGCCTCCTCTGATGCTAATGCATCCTCCTCATCCTCTGAATTGGTTGACTTGGCTTGGTTTGAAATCTCCCTGACTACTGAATGAGTTTCTTCTTCAGCAAGTTCCTATGAAAAAGGTTCACAGCAGTTCTTGAAGGAAAGATCAGGGAATGCCTCACAGACGTGTATTGGCAAGTAAACAAAACAAAGACAGTACCTTGCTTTGCATTTTAGGTCCTTCGGTTGTTTCCTACAGAATCAAGCGTCACATTTGGAGGCACTGTCAGTCACAGAAATAAAACAATGACTGGCTGAACTAAACGACCAGGTGACTTACGTGTTCTCTTAAGTAAGACATTCTCGGTTTGTCCTCCACCACCTCCACCTCTTCATCCACGCCCTCATCGACTTCCTCTTCAACCTCAGGAGCGGCATCCTCTTCCTCCCTCGGCTCCTCCCGCTTCTTCTCCTCTCTCCTAGGGCTCGCCTCCTCTTCATCCTGATTGTCACGGTAACGGCCCTGGCGCCAGGAGGATGCAGTCTCCTCCTCTACGTTGTTTTTCTCCACGGCGATGCTGTCGTTTACATCTGCAGCTGTTGGGTCCAGCTCCTTTTGTCTATCCAGAGCCTCCTTCATGCGCCTCAGCCGGCGCTCCTCACGTTTGGCCATGCGGTCCAGCAGGGCCTGCTCCTCGTCATCGCCGCCGCCGCCCCCTGTGTAAGAGCTGCTCACTGACACGGCCTCTGTCACACTAGCAGGAGATGGAGAGAGGAGGAAAACATTTCTCCATGTGGTCTTTTGTGCTCAGAGCAGCAAACGTCGGCTGTTAATTAAATGCACAATATTTATTCGGTTCTATAGTCTTTTAGTGGCAAGATACTTGTGTTGATAATTGTATGTATTTGTCAGGTCTGGATGTTAGTAGCTAATGTGCATGTAAAGGAGCAACTACTAAATAAAACAAGAACCCTATTAAAGTCCCTCACTTGGGATTTACATCTACAAAATGCTAAATAATGGAAATTAAAGAAAATGTATTAACTCTCAAAAAGTCAAGAGTTTCTCACAACATTTGGCACTTAGGATCAATTGCATGGCTGCAACTTGCCACCAATATCCCCAAAAGGTGCTGAAAGAGCAACTATGTTAAAGCAAACCTTTCCAGGTTGCAAAAGGAAGTTCAAGAGGAGCTGCCACATCAGTCATTTAGAGAAGTATGTGGAGAATGCTGTCAACTGGCTGCATTGAGGAGCGTTCACCACAGATATTCTTGAAAATAAACTATTGGTGAGGCCTCAAAATATACAGAAAATGAGTGAGATTGAATGAGATTTTCCTTAGATTCCAGATCTCAAGTTACATTTTTACCCTTCCTGCAGTTTTTTTTGTAAATACAAGAGGAAAAGTTCTACCAATGTCAAAATGATTTGCCCTCAGGGAGTCATCGAAATCTCGACAGAAGTTCCCGGCAATCTACTAAATAGTTGTTTTTATACTTAAGTCTGGACCTGTCCAACTGACCATCTGCGTAACTAAAAACCATTTCCTCTTTCAACCCACCAAATACCATTCTCCTCACTCGGAACTGAATGAATCCTAAAATTCTGACCCAAAAGTCTGGCAAACATTATCCCTGTATCCTTGTACCCAATTGACAATGGATATTTAACCCCCGGGTTCCGTCTCAGCATCCTCCTGCACAATCCCCCTGTTGTTGGACGTTGCCAGGGTCTATCTCTGACCTCATGGAGGGGAAGAATTCATGCCCACAAAGCCGTGTCTGTGTTGCTCGATGTCAGAGCGAGCCACTACTTCCACTGTAGCCAAGACCATCGATCCAACAGCCTCACAAAGATGAGACTATGCGTTGGTCGTCGTATTGACAGCGTAGACTGGGTGGAAGGTGGAATTCTTGTCAAATTTGTTGATTTAAATGTAACCGCGATGCAAAAAATGATCAATGGGCTGAGCGAGTGGTTCTTCTATCGGTTTGGGGAAACTTAAAAAAACTACTACTCCACGGTTGACCAATTTGAAACGGTAATTCTATCATTGTAAATTAAATATTTGAATAGCTTGACCGACATCAACAGTTACAGAGAGCTCGGCAAAGTCAATTTAAGAAAGGATAACTTCTCACCTCACAGATTGCTACAAACAACTGAGTTGTCTGGACATTTTCTCCCGTCAGAAAGAGGATTTATACTGGAAGGGGGGGATTACAATGACAGTTGTCCTCCTTTTCTCGTTACTCTTTTGCCTCCTCAGCTGGACCAACATTGGGAGCTGAGCATTCGGCTTTGACAAATATATAAAGACAAAAGCTGTGTTGCTGAATGTGTGTCACCTGTGGCTGTTGGTCACGACCAGACTGTCTGATTGTCCGCTGGGCTCCTCACTCTCCCTGCCCTTCATCCTGTCCTGGCGTGCCCTGCGCCTCCTCTCGCGGGCCGCTTCCTCCTCGTCATCGTCATTCCTCGCCAACCTGTGGGAGACAAAAGAGATGGGGAACTGTGAGGACACGGAGCTTCAGCTTTCAACCCTTCCTCAATTTAGCTTTTCCGATTAGAAGCTTCAAAGTGAACGTTTTTTTTTTTTTTTTTAATTGGACTGTAATCATCGCAGTGACCAAGCCTGGCGGATTGGTCTGAGCTTTTTGCTCTCTTATCAAGCTGACCTGTCAGCTGTGCAACAACCAATACTTCTTATCGTGGCTGCAGTTTCCGCGAGCTGATAAAAAGTCCTGGAGACATGGCTGAGGATAAGATGGAGCACAGAGAAACTGTGGAGGTGGGCGAGTGTGTTCATGCAGAGAAAACAACCACTAGTCTTCAAAGTCGATGTTTCTACAAGGGATTTAATGACATATTAAATCTAGAAATCACATTTTTCTCCGGTTAACACATGAAGTGAAATAAATGTGCTGTGTCAAAACAGCGATACGTGGAGTGAGCTTTGTTTTGAAGATACGGCCTCTTGGCTCATGAGATTCTAGGCACAACCTCAGTTCTGCCGAGGCAACAATTTCAGCACCTTCTCAGTTACTGCAACAGTTTGACACTTTCGGAATTACACTTGTTGGCTTTCTTGCAGAGAATTAGAAGATTGATACGACTCTCATATCTGTCCTCAAAACACGAAACCACAGGGAGCACCAGGAAACCGCTCGCCATCGTTCTGCCCAAATGACAAATGGAACCCTCCTACCTTCAACCAACACTTGTTCCTAATGACTACGCTAGTCGAACGGACAGTAGATGAAGCAAGGTCACAAAAGTTCATGTCAAACACATATTAGCTATTAGACACTGCATGTTAAACCTGCTCCTTTCTGCTCTGGCCATCCTGCTCCACGGATACATGGTTACACTTTAAAGACAAACCACCCATCTGCTAAAGCAGACGCTCAGTGGTTTAAGTAAAGGGTGAGGCTGCGTACAATCATCAACACAACTTCACCGTTGGCTAGTGAGCCAATACATAGCATATATTTATGTGCTTCAATCTGGACTGGAGGCAACAACGAGGCCATTCCCTGCAGCACAGTCTATTTAAAGGTATGATTGACTGACATGTTGCAAAGCAAAGAATCGTAAACTGAGCACATCTGAGGACATTCCTTTCATGGCAAAGTATCAAATTGATTCCTAAACTAATGTTTTTTTTTACCACTGGGCTTAAAGCTTGATCTGTTTTGGCTCGACTGACCTTCACACTCCCACTGCTAACCACATGCCCAGGAACCCGACATCACAGCGCCGCCTTTGAGGTCAGCCAGCAAAGCGCGTTGCACGTTAGACGCAACATGTGTGGTGAGCCGAGCTAAACCTGCGATGGTTTACGTGAGCTTTCACAGCTTGTGAACAACAGCGTCCTTCTTCCTTTCCTTCCCCTCTGCAGTGCTTTGGGTCTCCCGTTTCTTTCTCTCAAATGAGGAATGTTGTCATAACAGGGGAGATTAAAGTGTTAACGCCCACGGTGGACCTACGGGACAGTGACATCGGGGAATGAATTGTACATGTGTGTCTGCTGATAGTTCTAATAATGATAATTCACTGTCTCGAAGGGTAGAACACTTTTTATTCGCATTAGTTTCGCTTCTTTCCAACTTTAAAGTTGGCCTAAGTACAACCATCCACTGTGGCCACAAGTACAACGATGATAATGTACAAAAGGTGGATGGTAAAAGGCAGCGTGACGACGCACAAAGTCATCACACGGAGTATGTAAGAATATTGGTATGTTGGCAAACAGTAGATTACAAAGTGCGCTACGGGTCTTATCATATCAGGAAAATAAAAAGTAAAGATAAAAGTTGTTTTTGCTTAGTCATTTAATTATTTCTTTTTTTCAAAGTTACATAGTCTTGCTCTAAATAAATCCTCCTAAATATTTTTTTTCTCAATTCAATTTATATTCCATCAACTTCAGTTCCCCAGCAGCACATTAACTTATTTAAAGTGCCAGACAAAATGTTGTTTCTGTGAAAAAGCAAAAAAAAAAAAAAAGAAGTTAAGAACCAACTGCCTCTTCTCCCAGAGGGCTGCGCCATCCCAGAAACAGCCCCAAATGTCATGAGAAAGAGAAAAAGACAACAGCTAAAAATGGAACAAAAGAGTCCTTGGTGGCGGTGAAAACGACAGTCTCAGGGTTAAAGATTCCTCAGTAGGAGAGAAGAACAAACTCCTAAAAGCTGAATTAGCATTCCTGTCAATCACAGCCTTGGCAAGAGACGCGTACACAACCAAAGCCCTGATTTAATATCCCTTTCCTTACCTAGGCCCCAAACTCTATCAGCATACTGACACAGAAATATGGAGATACAGTAGGTGGAAGCGGGGATAAGAACAGAGAAGGAGAGAGAGAAAGAAAGAAAGCCAGTGAAATGGAGAGTGAGGATAAAAAGGAGAAGTGGGAAATGAAAATCGGGTGTGGAAAAAGGCGCACAATAATGGAAAAGGGAGTAATGCACAGGCTTGATCATACACAACATAATTTCCTGCTCGGAATGATGTGCAGCCTCAGTTATAAACGTGTGGTATGAGGGTCTGTCAGAATATTGTCTGCAACAAATGGCTTTTCTTGGGTGGCCAAGTACAGAATGCAAGGAAAGGAAACTTGACAGTATTGTCTGACCGCGGATATTCACTTAGTTGTCCACGAAGTAGCCGTGTTGCAGCTGAAAAGGAAGTTAAAACCCTTAATTTCTTTTTCCCCCCGACACAGTACATACGTAAAACTGATCCAGGCAGGATTCTGCATCCACAAAGTTATTTGCGTTAAAAGTACCGCCACCCAAAATATCGGCGTCAGCGAAGCCTATTTGGGAGAAATATGTCCAAATATTTTCTTTACAGCAAAATATCTCAGAAATGTCAGTGAAAACAATTTGGGAAAAGCCCATGAGAACAGACCCCCCCCCCCCTCCTCAAGAGAAGCAGGACGGCGGGAAGGGAGCGAGGGAGAAAAGGGAAGAGGAAGATTGAAAAGAAAAGCTGCTGTGAACAAAAGGGGAGGGGAGCGAAGTAAGGGATGGTGAGGGACGGGGCGAGGGAGGGAGAGGGAGGGGGCTCTTCTTACACTGTCAGAAATGCTGACCCATTCCCACGCTGGCCTCTCTGCACTATTTCCCTTCCTACTGACGGCCCTGAAGAGGCCCGAAGAACCACAGCGTACCCGGTCTGCCCCCCCTTCCCCAGCTCCAAGAACACATCACGGTAAAATCCCCCTGCAGCGCATTCAACATTTGATTTTGGCCTCAGAGCAATCCGAAAATACAGCTCAACGCCTTTCCGAGCTGAAGGTATAAGTCAACTTCAAGTTAGTTGACATACACGCAGCTCCGCCGCTCCCTTACGACCTCTGTCCCTCGGCCATGAGTCTCCCTGGCTCTTCCTGACAGAACCAACAGGTTTACGATGCAGGACCGGGTCGTGTTCAGAACGCCCCGCGCAACCAGGGCGCGGATTGTTTGGCGAGGCTCGTTCGCGGAGGATGGGTGGTATTTCCTCGGCCCTTCCTGGTCCCTCGGGGGAGGGGACAGCACAGATGCATGGAATGAACAGGGGGAAGTGGAAGAAGAAGAGGATGGTGGAGGGAGAGAGAAGAGGACAGGGATTTAAAAGATGAGAAGGAAGGTGTGTCATTAAAAAAAAGGAAATGAGGAGAAGGTTTGGGAGAGATGAGGATGGGGAGAAGGATGACCGTGACCGTGAGGAGGATAGACTGGTTCCATACAGAATGGATGGAGGAGATGGCGTGTGACAAGAAAGATGGAGGAGGAGAGATGGCAAAGAAAAATAGACTCCTCCTAAAAAGGACCTCAAAAAGGAAATTCAAAGTCTTGCAAATCAACGTTGTATATCTCACAAAGTCTTGAATTGATTACAATGAACATATGTTTGTCATTTAAGGAAACAATTCATCAAATGAAAAAATCCAATCAATTGATCCCACCAAGTTGAAATGAGGACGGTATTTAAACCATGGCTAAACGATAAGTTCCGTGCAGAACTTTCCTCGGCCGAGGGCAGCGATTGGAGTGGCACTGGGTCTTAATTCTTGAACTGCTCCTTTAATTGTCCAACATACGAGAGTGATGACTCATCATTGCGCTGGTGCCAAATATCCATCTATGTGCAATGTGTTAATATTATAAGGACAATGAACTGCTGCAGCTGCAGGCTGTAACAACATGGCACTGTTACACAAGAAGACCGTTTCTAGCTGAAGCCAGTCGCTGATTAAATGGGAAAATTCCACATCCATGTGCTCGCTTTGGTAAAAGAAAAAGGGGAAAAAAAAAAAAGTAGCAGTCGATGCATTCCTGTGAGTTTCATTGAACAGAGACGCACTATAGGACAGATGAGTAGAGGAGCTGAAGAGCAGCACAGAGTGTGAGTCTACGCAGAGCAGAAAACCATGTGTCAGTGGTGTATATGTGTGTGCTGAATAGAGTAAGACATGAATCGAAGTCCATTGAGAAGCTCTATGTAAACAATCATCTTTAAACTATAACCGAGGCTGATGTAAGACAGAAGATGGACGTCTCGACTCTTCTCCCTCCGCACACGCAGAGTCGAAGATCACAAAAGACAATAGGAGCTTGTCAAAACTTCATCACCTGAGGCTGATCCACAATACCACAATAAACGCGCACAGACAACGAGACAAACGTACTCATACACTTCTTTCCCCACACACGGACAACCCCGCCGTCATAGCATGTAGGAAACGGCCAATGGAGACCTGGCCAGTAAACACTCATAATAGCCAGGAATTTGGCATTCCTGCAGACGTTATTATATGGCCCCACACTCTCCCCACAGCGCGCTCAGCGATGGGTGAATGGAAGCAGGCCAATAAGACAACATGTGGTTTCGACTAGGCCAACCATGAGGGGCATGTAAATATTGATTGTTTCAATATATTGGCAGAAATGAAAACAGGGCAGCGATGTAATCTTTCATCAATAACAGGAGAGGCGCGTCGCCCGCCAGTTGAAATGATTGCTTTCCTGGACCAAATAAACAGTCATGAACCAACTCCTGCCGAGCTGAAAACGTTCACGTCAAAGGCGCTTACGACTCGAACACGTTTTCACTTACGGTCGATTTCAGTCGCTCCTCATCTCTCACCAGGCCACCTTTTTAATATGGCGCATTCACACCAAAAGTGAGGCGAATACAATTCATTCACGTCCCGCTTCATTTGCGAAGGGGGCGTGGCTTGTCTCTGTAAAGACAGTTATCCATGATGGAAATGGCCACTATCTCTGTTTGGGTTCATGACATCATCCATCGGCACACACGGCTCGGGTGAATTTCTCCAGCTTCCAGCGCTCCTTCAGGCTAACCAGGAGCCACTTTGATCGCCAAAGTTGAAAATATTTAAACTTTGGCGATTTCTCCCCTCTTCTCAGTGTATAAAATGTTTAAGCAGTGGGGTTTTAAAAAGGCGTTTTCAAGCTACGAAGCAGTTCCACCAAAATGCTTTAAGAAATCAATGTGAGCTGTTGATAAAGTTGCTAAGGAAGTTGGTCACGTTTCCCTCAGGATTTCATTCATTCCCCCAAAATAAATAAGTGGAAGAGTAAGAAGACCCTTTATGGTCTCCCTGTAATGCATCCCAGGGGAGATAACCTTGGCAGATGCAGCTCCCACAAGCCGGCAGACACTTTATTTTTCAATGTCTGGATGAATGACTTAACCCTCTATTCTATCACCCAATACATCTCTTTCACTATTGTGCATGGCGTGCACAATTTCACAAGTACAAGAAACGCTGTTTTACCTTGAGCAAAGGGCCTCGTTCGTCACAGAGGTGAAATACGGCGCACGTCGTCTTTGTGTCGGAGAAAAACTATCAGAGGGGAACATCTATGCATTCAGAAAGGGCCAGACCCATCTCGGCTTGTTTTTCCATCAGCGATGGAGCAACTGGCTCACACAAAACTCTATTCACAAATACATCAAACAGGCGAGTGACCTTGGCCAGTATCTGCATCCACATCAACCTCATCCTTAATTGGAAGGTGTGCAGCACACATGGAGAGACTTTTGTGAAAAGGTTCCCACAATGAAATCCCTCCCCCTTACTAGATCTTATTGCTGCACTTGCCGTGTTACCGCTCAATCAATTTGTTGAAATGAACTTTAACTTAATCAATTTCTTCCATTGAATCAGGGAGAGTTCACAAAGCCGCAGTATATGACAAAATTCTAAAAGGTTGAGGGTGTGTGTGGGTGTGTGTGATTGAACATTCCCACTTAAAGGTCGTCTCATTGCTTATCAGATTTCTTATCAAACCCTTTTTTTTCTTTTAGCCTGTGGAAGCCAGTATTTGCTGAGCAATGTTTTTTAAGACTCAGAGGGTCTAAGCCATTAAAGCTGGCTCCCTCCTGTTCCAACTTGGCAGGAACATCAGAGGTGTTGATGGGCGTTGACAATCTGCTCGTATAGTATTAAGTTATCACTGACAAGTTCTGTAGCTGCAACCACTAATTAATCCAAAGGACTGCCTTCGGAATCAAGCTTTGAATTAGTTGGATAACTAAGAATTAGTTGGATAATCCTGGAGTACTAATCTGCAAACGTGACCGACCAACAACCAAGCGGGTCTTACCGTTCGGCCTCAAGGCGCATCTCCTCCCGCTTCTGCCTTCTCAGCTCGCGGCGCCGCTCAAAGTCCATTTCCTCCATGACTGTGCCCTAAGGGATGACATCATCAAACACAGACACATTCATTTAGTCAGTTTCCCGAAAAGGCCGAGGAGAGAAAGACGAGAAAACCATCTTTTAAGTATCCTCACAGAGCAAAAACACTGGTTCACTAGTCAAACAAAGCCTTAGTTTTATCATATGTGGCAAGTACTGTATTTAAACACACAAGGGTTTCACAGGAAGTGTCATACCAGGTTTTTATGTACGGCAGCTTTAGCCTAGGTGATAAAATGAGGCAGCGAAAGAATAAAAAAAGGACACAGGATGTTAACTCAATCAGTTGAGAACTACTCTCACTAAAAATACCCCAGTAGGAATTGTGACAGTGAGGACAAGACCACCCAGGAGCTGCGGAGCCTCCCATCGTACAACCACCAGCAACGTTTTCTATACACAGGAGCAGAATAAACACACTAGAGCCGAGCACTTGAGGGAAGGAGCCAAAAAAGGTGCATGAGAGTTCACGTAACAAACTGACAGCACTGAAATAAGTCATACTCAAACACTTAAAACACCTTTTGTGGTGGGAGTAGGAAAGCGTGGCAGTAAATGAGCGGCACTACGACAATTTTGGCGAAACAAAAAGGAAGAACCACGACGGGCATACCTTGAATTAGCCTTCGGACAATGGGTTTTCTTTCACACCATACCAGCCTTCCCCAATGCTCTGTCCAAAACACACACACACACACACACACACAACGCCCCTACGTGTAGCAATAGCCTCCCGCAGTCCGCTCACAGCTGACAGAAAAGGCAAATGCCAGTTTCCTTCCCCTCCCTGCTAGTCGTCCCTCCCTCCATGGCCTCCTTCCTTCTTTCCCTCAAGCTTAGCCCCCCCCCCTCCCAATGTCCTGTTTCTCCTTCTCTCCTCAACTCTACCGCAAAGCTTTCCTGTGTTGTTTACTTCTATACATGTCAGAGCATGGCTGCTTCTACGACACCACTCCAGCTTCCTGTGTAAGCACGCATTTTCTTTTATCTGCAGTTGCATACAAAAAGGGGGGGTTCAAGGAGAGCCGTATTTGTTATACCTGCACGTATGTATATGGGTATGCATTGACACTGGCATGTAGGTGCAACATTACAGCTTTTGTGTGCATGTATTCACAATAAGCATGCACAGATAAACACAGGAAACGCGCGGCCCGGAGAGAAACGCTAACAGACGACCTCGACTCGGAGGGATCCTCCCCGCTGCATCTTATCAGCCAGTCTCCTCCCCCCTGTACAGTAAACACAGCCTCTTCCACCCCCATTTTACACTGTTAAAGCTTCGGAGGACGGATACGTTAAACACTCCCTATGTTTAGACGCAGTCTTCGCGTCGTCTGTGAAACAAAGGGGAGGGTGGAAGCGATCGGCGATATGGGGCGAAATGAGAGCAATAACGAAAGCTGACAAGGCCTCCAAACCTCGCCAGTCTAATCACATACTTCCTAGAACCAGTGACGCCAAGGGAGACAAAGTCATTAGTATCACAAGCACGGCAGCATTTGACGTTATTATTGCAAATAATGTGATTCATGCAGCTGAGGAGACGGCATTTCTATTTTAAACGTTATTTACGAGAAAATTAAGATAAAAAGTGGATTTTTTTCAAAATGGTCACAGAGCGGACCATATACACAAGATTTCATGAACAACAAACCAGAGGTAATTATATTACTCGAGATGATAAATTATGTATTAATAAGTATGTTGAATGAACGCAAGACTGGGCGCTGCAGTCGCATTGTCTCGTCTCCACATGGGAGAAAGCACCAGGAGAGGAAGCCTGTGGCTTGCACACAAGGCCCTCGGTAAGACGTAGAAATGTAACTGTTGTGTATATCACTGAAAGGACCACCCACACTTTGCGAAAAGCTAACGGGGGCAGAACGAGAGAAAGACAGCATTCCAGAAAGTTGAGCAACCTGAAGTCAAACGTTTTGGACATCTTCAGACTTTTTAAAAAGTTCAGCCTGTCCACTATAAAACCTCTTTGTTTGCTAAATCTGTCCCTTTATACCACTATTTATCTCAAAAACCTGCAACCGACCATGCAGCCCCCCCCCCCCCTTCTTACTCGGTTTCTCCCTTTTCTGTCCTCCACCCCCTCCTTCTCTTTCGCTGTCTGCCTCAACCTTCTACAATGGCTATAATGACACATTTACCAGTCAAATTACTACCTGTCGGGACTGCCAGACCCTGGCACAGAACCCAGTGTCTAAGTGCCAGCCTCATAAAAAGCCTTAAAAGCCAAGTTGATATTATCCCAACAGCCAGTGGGATCACATCACCTTATAGTGCCTCTATCTTCTCACGAAAGTCCTGAGATAAAAGCACCAAAACAATGTGTCCCTATCGGCCAAATGAGGCACAAAGTAGATGAAGCAGTCTGGGAGTACGGCTGGAGAATAAGTATAGGCCAGGTGTCTATTTTGGGCTTTGGTGAATTGTGCCTGATGACGGCGTAGCATTTTGTGAGAAGAGAAAACTGCAGCTCTTTGGTCAGATTTGTTATGGTGATACTCAGTGCAACTATCCCCACACAACCTTTAGACAAACACATTAATCTATCCATTATGGCGACGGGGCTATGCAAGGAATGCTCCTATTTAGGTTCTGATTTTAGCTGAGGGGACTTGAAAGAGCCTCCAAATTACTCATTCACATGCCAGGTCGGATCTCTTTTTGTGTGCAGTGAATGTTGAATAAAAAGAATTAACGTTAAGGTAAACAAGTAGAAACTAGTTATGTTCTTGCCAGCTGCGAGGTTAGCAAATAAAAGAACAATGGTGACTTGTTGCAGGTGGGGGTTACGAGGCTTAGTCACTAGTTTGAAGTTTAAAAAAAAGTGGCATTCATGACAGTAAAAAAAAGCTTTATAACTCTAAAAAGTGTTGGAACGTGAAGCTTTTTTAAGAAATCTCATTTTGTTCATCATGGGAACATGTGTTGCATTAAAACAAACGCAGCCACGAATAACACAACTGTCATTTGTCTTTTAGGTATTTGGTCATTAAACAAAGTATTGAGAATTTGAATTCCTGTTGCATACATCAGATTTTTGGGCTGTATAAATGTGCCAGCAAAAACCACAGTCTGCATTTACATTATATTTTTTCCACGTACCATTACCACTCAGTGAAGCCTTATTGCTGGGTTTGTAAAGGACATTAAAGCAAACAAGGCCACGCTACCTGGGCTGCTGCTCGGCTCTTGGCCTCCAGAGGACCACACGGGTCTTTAGAAAGACGAGGAGGAGACAAGTTGTACGTCTAGCAACTGTGGAGACACAGCTGTGCAGGTGTACAGGTGAGGAGAGGTGTTCCAGGTATCTGGAATGTGAAAGCAACACTGGCACAAAGCCTGTTCTTTCTAGTCTTTGCATCAATGGAAGGAAATATTTTGTCCACCGGCTGCAGTGGTTGGTATGCTGGAGATTTCATGAACTGCTTCGACTCCATTACCGGCCACATACCATTTGGTTTTTCAAAAGTAATACTTGATAACGGAAGAGATTAAAATGCCGTTGTGAATATCACAAATGAAAGCAAAAAGAAATTGAAGATTATTAATAAAGGCTATAAATCATGGAACGCCATGGAGGATATGGCCCTTAACTGAAAAGAAAGTAAAAGGATTTAAGTATTTTGACACCGGCTGTCTTAGTCATTCGAACTTTAATCAGCAAGAATACGAATTAAAAGGCTTCCATTCAAAAGTTGAAGACTAAAATGAAATGTTCTCATTCCGACGAATCTGAGGCTTCGATTGTGACAGCAGCTTTTCAAATACGATCACATTTAGAAAGGCAAATTTTGTGTGTCATAAAAAAAAAAATGAAAAAAAAAAGGTTTTCAAAGTTCTTCCATTGCTAGGTATCGGTTTTCTTCTCTGGTTTTGCTATTGTATCACTACTAGCACCACTAATGGTTAAAGTATAGAGTCCACCAATGGTTAACAATGACACGTTCGTCCATTTGCATGTAGATCTTGGTCAACCTACAGTAAACGGTTTATTTCGGGGTGCCTTGTATTGAATCCTTATTTAACAGGAGGTGAACAGACTTGCGCTTAAACCAGAGTTCTATTTGTTTATTCTCAGCTAAGATATATTGTTAAAGATGAACATTTCGTGGTTGTTTTATCACACAGATAAAGCTTCTGCAGTAAACCGGGGAAGAGGAGAGGAATAAAGAGATGCTGCAGGTCTGTAGGTAGTGCACGCCAACAGCTGTTTTGGCTTAGGCTCCGGGGACAGTTTGAGTTGAATAAATTTAAGTTTTTTTGCAGGGGTAAGGACTCTCCTGAGATTAAACTGACTGGGGGGTTAAAATATACTCAGCCTGTGTGTGAGGGTGTGTGCATCGCGATAGACCGCGATGCACACACCCTAAAAAAAACAAAAAAACATGATTTATGTTCATAAATTAGTTTGTGTATATGTGTGCGTGTAAAGTTTGCAGATGTGTAGGCAGGAAGTGCACACGACTAATTGCATGCTTTCTTTCTAAATGCGCGTGAGAACGTTAGCGTTTATTTTTACAAGTGTGACACTGAAAATACATACGGCCACTGCGAGCACAGTATGTGCGAGTTTGTAGAAACGGTCCACGGGTGTACATGTGTGATATCCATCACCACCTACAGAGCTGTGTTTAGAAAGCTGGCCTTGTGGTTGTGGTTCTCTGAGCAACGCGTCTCCTCTCACACGTTCAGGTCTCGGCAGCATCAACACGTGTACAGTCACAGGATGCAGAGCGGCTGCGGATGAGCATTCATGAATTCACTGGAGGGTTTTGGTGCACTGAGGCCAAGAATTTCTCAATTTCTTTCCATCTCCACTCGTCCTTCGCCTGTCACCTAGAATCTCTTCCTCTGCATGCCCCTTTAGAGCCGGTCTCATACATTGGTGGATTGGCGTGTATTGGTATGTTATAGGGCGGTCACTGTTGACCTGAATGACGGAAATGATTAAATCTTCAATCTCTTCCTCTTTTTGCTAATACAGGGACTGAGCGGATTATAACGACACCACACAATGGAGAAGTAGACGAACACAACGAAGACATAATGATAGATTACACCACGGACAGAGACATCTTAGATAAGGCGGTTTGCTGATCGTAGGGACATTAGCTTATCATAACATCTCAATATATTTTTTATCATAATAGCGTGTTAGGTTGTCTGTAAGTAAGGCAGTCAAGGCTCTTTTTTAATAACTCTGTATTTACGACATTTGTGATGTCAAAAAGTTGCTTGTGCACGTGATACTTTTTTTTTTTTTTTTTACACATTAATTTTGAGATGCATTATATATTTACAAGTTTTAGAGGCCAGGTTTTTATTTTTATCACAAATGTAGTATATGCTTTTCATAGCTACCATTGATACTAACTTTCTGTTATACTAGCTGCTAGTGTTTCGCTGTTTCTTTCAAATTTCCCTCAGTGCAGATCTGCAGCAGCTATAGGCCCACTGGTGCGGACTGCGTGTTGAGCTACAATATAGGAAGGCTCAGGGTTGGCTATCAATTAAGTTTAGTAGCAAAGCTTTTTTTCTATATTTGTCTGTGTCAGCATTTTAATGCCACAGTGTGAATATCAACCACAACAGCTTATGTTGTCAAAACTGAGGTCTTTGGCTGAGAATATATATTTTACGCGACTTAAGAGGAGGCCAACGGCATCAGACTTCAACTCAATCTCATTACCATCTGCTTTCCACTCACACTTTATCTCCTCCAAGACAAGTTTTTTTTTTTTTTTGTGTGGCTT